GCTCTACTACCGAGATGCTTTTGTGAATGGACACTTGTGTTACATGGCAAGTCTAAACTTCACATGTCCCTCGTGTCCAGCCACGTGGTTTACCAGCCGTCCGCAGCCAGATGGTGTCCTGCTAGATGTTCAACAATAAAGAGGAAACTAAATTCAGCGGAGCACAGTTAGACTGGAGATGCAGTCCATCGGAATGGCTTTGGATGGATGAAGGCCCCATAGGTCAAATCCAGACCACATTGTCTTGGATGAAGATTGCAAAATGCCCCTTCAACTTGCCAAATGGTCCAATCCAATTAGCCTAGCCTTCTACCTTTTGATTCTAATCTGGCTACAACCACTAGCCGCCATCTGTGAGAGAGAGAGAGGGAGAACTCTGGGAGGAAGTGGTAGTGCTTAAGGCAATGTTTCTGGGTCTGAGGAGCATGCAAGAACCCATTGTGATTACAAGGGTGCAGATCCCAACCCCCCCTGCTTGTCCCTGGCTCTTCCAGTGACATCACATGGGTCATCCTGAGGGTCAGAGCAACCAGCATCGACTCAACAAAAGCCCCCAGACAGAGTTAATACCATTATCAAGAAACATAGGCTTGCGGAGCGGCGCTCATTCCCACTGGAAAAACAAGAGGCCCCCAACAGAGAATTGAAGGGAATCGACTCCTTTTCACACACTGGTCAATTATTCAATTACATCTTCCTGCCCTGGTGTTTGACCCCTGTGTTTCCTATTGGGTTGGTTAACTGGAGGAGCAGATTAAGTAGAGGAGAGGAGAGAAGAGGTAGCTGCGACTGAAAAAGCACAGCGACTGAAGCAGCTGGTGGGGTTTGAGTGGGGAAGCCGGTGGAGCGTAGCTATCTTGTAGCGCTGCGTCCCACTGCTGAAATAAAGAGCTTAGGATCCTGAGAACCTTGCCCACCTAAATCCTTCTTTTTGGCTTTAATTAGGTTTGACTGGTTCAAAGAAGTCGGTTCCATTTTTTGTGTGTCATATTTCCGAGCACTTTATGGAAGGATGGAGATGTTTTGTTGGGGTGGGCGTTGGGTGAGATTTGCCAAGGTTTTGAGATTGGGCTCTCTCTCTCTCTCTCTCTCTCTCTCTCTCACTCTGACTAATGATCTTTATGTTGTCATCAGTGGTTCTTTTGCTTTTGGATGTTTGACTAATTAGAGCCAAAAAGGAAGTAATCTAATGAGCTGGGTCACAGCCTGAACGAGAAGAGCTAATCAACAGATGCCCCGGAGACTGCACAGGAAAAGACAGTCCTAATGCAGCAAACTATGAATGGAAGTTAATTAGTTCCGGACCGTGAGATCACTCCTAACTTTGGTTTACTGTTAGCTACGCAAGCTAATTGTACCAGTTAGCACAATCTTATTTTAACTGGTACTAGCGTTTAGTCATTGTTTCCAATTTTCCTCCAGTTATGTCTTTATTGGCCGCAGTTATGAAGCATTTGACTGTTTATGTGCATGTTAGTTGTACAAAGTGCTCGCTAGAGCTATGCTGGTTTTGGACTGCACTTACACTCTACACTCTCAGAAATAAAAGTACTAAACTGTCACTGGGACAGTGCCCCTCTTGTCACTGGGGTGGGTCCCTCAAGGGTACATCTCAGTACCTTTAGTCAGGGAACATAACTGTACCATAATCCACTGAAATGATATGTTCTAAGCTGTACTGACTCCACACACCCCGTCTCGTCTCCAGGCTTTTATTTTACTGTTCTGTTTTAAAACATTCGGTTATGAAAAGGTACAAATACGAACTTTTCACCTGGAAAAACTTATTTAAGGTTCACAATCAGACCTTAAAACCACTGTTGAACCTTTGAGGGGAACATTTACACTGTTTGTACCTTGATGAACAAAAATGTACCTGAACAGAACCTTTATTTCTAACAGTGTAATAAATTAGCATAAACCTCAAATTTTTCATCTAGTACTTGAAGGAACTTCAGGGATACTTCAGCGATGTTCCACTAACACCGGATGTAGTCGATCAGCAGCCATGCCATCTTTGATGTCCAAATGTTGCTTCTTTAGATTAGAGCTGGAGCTGTAAGGCTAACATTGCTAGCAAACACTAGAAACCATTAGTCAGTATTTTCTGTAATTTATTAGTTAGGGTCATGCAGACTTGTCGATGTACTTAAGGACACAATATGACTTACTATGAACTATAAACATGGACAAAAATTCACTGTGTCAAGATTCACTGTGTAGCTAAATGCAACTCTTTAGACAACAGATGTACTGAATGATGTGCCTTGCAGAATCTGCCTTCCGGGCATTATAATGCTATCTGCAGGTATTGTAGACTTATTCATGATTTCTATTGTTTATATATATGAATGGCTGTTAATCTTAACATTTTTGAGCTGAAAATGTGTTTATAAACATAAAGGGGAGTCACATTCTGCGTTGGAGTCAGAATTCAGAGCAGCACTTGTCATCTAACATAGTTATCCCCAGAGATCAGCTACACAGAGAAGATTTATATTAATAGTAATATTTATAGCTTACAGTAAGTCCCACTGTACATCCTAAACCACACCAACAAGCCTGTGTGCCCTTAATGAAGACCTGGATACAGCTTTGTGCAGGTTGAGGGACGTTTTGTGGAAGTACTTACAGAAAAGTGGCTAAACTAAAGAAGCAAAATTTGAACACTAAGCATGTCTTGGCTGATCAACTACATCCATGATAAGTCATGAAAAGTTATTTTCCACCAAGCCATTTGTTTAACTTTGTTCTTTTTACACACTACGGCTTATTATTCAGTAAATACATGGACTTTAGTGCAAGCTGGCTGAGCTATTCTTAGGTTACAGACGTGTGTAATAAAACCTTGGGCCCACCGGTGGATCCTGTCCATTTAAGGGGTTAAACAAAGCCCTACATGTAAGGTTTGTAACAGCACTCGCTGAAAAAAGAGCCTGTATTCTGCCTGTCTTCACCCGAGCCCTTGCTGCCTGTCAGATAACGAAAGGTTACTGAAACTACTGAACCCTCCGTGCGCTTGAATCAGTCCAGAGAATGGAAAAACAGAAAGAGGAGACCTTAATGTCAGAATAAAATCTTGACATTTTGCCAAGGCTCATTTCCAACAGAATTGGTACAGTAATGTTCTGTGTAGCTACTTGAATATTCAGGCAGCCTCACACTGGAAGGAAGAGGCGTCAGTCTTATGCCCATTATTCTCACCATTGTATCCAGCTAATCAAAATCTGTCTCTGTTATTGTGCCATGAATCCATAATTCAGAATAATTTCTGCAACATCTGCTGTGAATTATCATAGCTGCAGGAGGCCCCTATTTATTTATTTTTATGCCTTCTTTTTTGTATTTTGCATCATGAAATGGAAGACGGGGAAAATGTGTGTCTGCCACTCATGCCGACAAAAAATAAACAGGGATGCAACATCTGTCTCCAGGGAGTGTGCAATAGAAAGCTTTAATATGGAGATTCCCCTCATTTTGAGCAAAGAGGAGAGCGGGCAGGAACTGCTGATGCAGGTGCGCTCTGTTGGTGATGCATGGTGTGTGGGTTGTGTGAGTGTGTGTGTGTTCCTGAGCACGTACTGTGAGCATATGGTGGGGGAACTGTCTGAGGAAATGATGTACAGTGCTGTGCAAAAGTCCACCCTTCATTTATTTAATGTCCAGTCAAAACAGCCATTAAGTAAGTTAATCATTTTTTCAGGAGATATTTCTGAGATTAGATACAAGATAATTCACCTGCATAAAGACGGAGAAAGTCAAAAGGAAATAAATAGAATAAACAACAGTGTCCAAAACTGGAGGTCAGCAATGCCTAAAAGCTACAGAGAAAATGAGGCTCTTAACAACCACCTGGAAGACCTGGTAAACACCAAAACTGCCCCCATCAGATAAACAGCACTTAAAGCTTTCATCTCTGAGAGAGAGGAGAAAATCAAGCTGCTTCAGATCTGAAAACATCCACAGGTGTTTCTGTCCATCCTTCCACGGTGAGAAGACGACTCAGCGCTGTGGGTCTGAAAGGATGTGTAGCTGTCAAGAAGAACCTCACTGAGAAAAGGAGACGGACACATCAGACAGAGAAGCTGAATGATGGACTGACCACCCCAGAGTCCAGACCTCAACACCACTGAATGTGTTTGATTACTTCAGAAAATGATCAACAAGCTTCTAAGACTGAACTTTGGAGGTGTGTCTGCAGATTCTTTGAGAAACTGAAAGTGATTCTCCTGAAAAGAACGGAAGCTGTAATAAACACGAAGAGTGGACACACTAAACCGTATCATATATACTATATTTCTGTTAAATATATGGGCAACACTACAGTAGTGTTCATAAAGCTGTGTGGCACCTACATAAGCTTGTCATGCTAACAGTCATATACCTACATAAACATTTATAAAGGAATATTGTAAAAGGCATTGTCTATCTTTGGGTAAAATAGCATTATAACAACTGACTTTGTAGCTTAGTGTATATCACAGTGACATACTACTGATGATAGCTTAAATCTTATAAATGCTAGCTCAGTGACATTCACTTCATCTAAGAGCCACAGAAAATGCTCACCTTTGTTCAACCAGTCTGAATTTGCATATTATCAGCATAATATATAATCTGCAAATTATCAGCGTTATGTCACTGTGACATACACTGAGCTACAAAGTCGTTTCAGTCTAGAAAGTATTATAAACTAATTTCAGAAAAAACTCGTAAAAGATTTATATCAGCTTGACATCAAAGTTGGCAAATGGAGCCTTTATGACAAATGAGAACATGTTTATAAATACTTATGTAGGTTTATATACATTGTCACAATGAGCTTATGTATGTGTCATGTAGCCTTATGAACACTGCCCTAGGATAATTTGCACTATGTATAACCAAATAAAGGGTGGTCTCTGACTTCTGAACGGGACTGTAGGAGGGTGTGCTCTTCACTGTGTGACTGAGCAGCTGGTGAGTGGGTGGTAACAGAAGTGTATGTGTGTCTTGTACAGGTCACGAGTCCCTCGTTACTACTGGAGTGAGATGCACTGAGTGCTGGCCCGGCGTCAGTCTTTTCTTCCACTCAGCTTGAGGGTGTGGCCAGTGATGCGGTTACCGTGGAGACTAGGTGTAGCCTTCCTTCTGGGGGTGTTCCTCAATACCAGCTGTAGGCAGTTCACCAATGCACTGGACATTCCACTGGAGGGTAAGTTGTGATTCACACCCAGTGTTTAGTATGAATTGTTCAAGTTCATGTCTTCTTTATGGGTGATAATCATGGTAAAATCCTTAAAAAAACTGTGTTTTAACCTTTTGGCCAAGCTCCTATACAATAAAAGTATATATATATATACACACACACATATTATATATATATATATATATATATATATATATATATATATATATATATATATATATATACACATATATATATATATGTACTTACTGTTACAGTTGTGTGAAAAAGTTTGGGCTTATTACATGTTTTGTTGATTCTGATTGAAAATAAATAAACACATCCTCTACAGAGAACATACTTCTAAACATTTTACAATTAAAATTTTACAATTACACAATTTAATGAATTGAACATATTATCATATTATATGCAAAAGTTTTGGTACCTTCTATAAATTATGTACTCTGTATATATATGTAATTATAGGATGTCATGGATTACTGCTTGAAAATTCCTAGACACACTGATCAACTTAAAAAAGTAAACTATAAATGATAAAGGGTAAATGATAAAAAAAATGCTTGTAACATTTTGTTTTTAAGGCTTTCTAGGATGCCAATAATTGTGGCACCTGTGGTTTTGCTAAACATAATTATTTCTTGATTTTTTCATCTCAGAATAAATTTACTTCAGTGAAAGGTTGAATTTTCCTCAGTTTTACAGTGTGAGATTAAGCTAACTTGCTGAAAGTTGAATTTCTTATAACCCTTTTTACTCATCTTTAACAAGATGAATAAAAAGGGTGCCAATAATTGTGGAGGAGACTGTATATATAATTGTATGTACACTGATCAGGCATAACATTATGACCACCTCCTTGTTTCTACGCTCATTGTCCATTTTATCAGCTCCACTTACTATATAGGTGCACTTTGTAGTTCTACAGATACAGACTGTTGTCCATCTGTTTCTCTGCATACTTTGTTAGCCCCCTTTTACCCTGTTCTTCAGTGGTCAGGACCCCCATGGACCCCCACAGAGCAGGTACTATTTGGGTGGTGGATCATTCTCAGCACTGCAGTAACACTGACGTGGTGGTGGTGTGTTAGTGTGTGTTGTGCTGGTACGAGTAGATCAGACACAGCAGTGCCACTGGAGTTTTTAAACACTATGTCCAATCACTGTCCACTCTATTAGACGCACCTGTGTTGTTGGTCCAGCCTGTAGATGCAAAGCCAGAGACAATAGCTCATCTCTTGCTGTACAGTATGAGCTAATTATCCTCTAGTCCTTCATCAGTGGTCACAGGACGCTGTTGACTGGATATTTTTGGATGGTGGACTATTCTCAGTCCAGCAGCGACACTGAGGTGTTTAAAAACTCCAGCAGCACTGCTGTGGCTGATCCACTCAGACCAGCGCAACACACACTAACACACCACCACCACGTCAGTGTTACTGCAGTGCTGAGAATGATCCACCACCCATATAGTACCTGCTCTGTGGGGGTCCATGGGGGTCCTGACCACTGAAGAACAGGGTAAAAGGGGGCTAACAAAGTATGCAGAGAAACAGATGGACTACAGTCTGTAACTGTAGAACTACAAAGTGCACCTATATAGTAAGTGGAGCTGATAAAATGGACAATGAGTGTAGAAACAAGGAGGTGGTCATAATGTTATGCCTGATCGGTGTACACACACATTATATATATATATATATATATATATATATATATATATATATATGATTACAGAGAATTGTAACACAGGGGTTTTTGAGGTTTATACATGCAATAAAAACAGTTTTCTTCTTGAGTGCAATAAACATGTAATCAAATATTGGTTTAAAACATCAGTCAGTCTAATCTAATCGTGTGTCTGGGGCAGATATTTATTTAGTGTTATGGTACAGATATAATTCTAATATCACTGTGCGTCCCTACTTACTATCTTTTTTTTGCAGTCATCAGATTTATTATACACAGGTTCACTCTTTCATGCTTTAAGCAGGTATCATTTGTTATACTGTTTTGTATCCTGCTGTTTCCTTGGAAACAAGATGCAAGTATTTTTTCTACTATTAAATTATTCACAGTATATCTTTGGGGCCTCCAGAATATCATCTATAGAGAGCAGATCAGTTCTTGAGTTACTCTCTTCTAATTCAGTTTAAGTCAATCCTGCACTGATTGAATTATTTATCAGCACTGTGAATGTTCCTGTATTTCAGCTGTCCTGTGAATCTCAACAAACTGCTGCATGTTTATCTCTTTGTTTGTTTGTTTGTTTGTGTTTCCCTGCTGCCCCTGGATTTTCGCTTCTAGTTTTAGCTCACATAAACCGTAAGTTTTATTATGCAGTACTTAATGCAGATTTAGTGACCACCACATTTTCTCTTAATCTCATGGCTGTCTGGTCAGCTGATCAATCACATGACCACATCCCAACTGGAGGATCACCCATTAGTTCTTGTAGACAAATTGCATCTAATACTGAGATTCACTCATTCTGTCATTGATCCAGAGATTGATCCATCCCTCATCTGGCATGTGTGGTTGTGTAGTTGACATTGTTGATCATGTGTTACATTCATTGTTTGAATGTGTGTAGCTGTGCTGTGGGTGGACCTTGTAGCTAATGTGTGCTAAAACGTTTATTAATTCCTAGAAATAGAGCCAGATGTGCTTAGAATGTCTCTGATTTGACACAAAAATAGCTTCTTGTGGCTATCCAGGGCATTTTTGTGTAAGATTTATTGGTGGACAATTAGACTTTTATGAAGATTAGGACTTTAGGGCTGTCAAAATAAAATTCAGCATTCAAATATTCATCAAAATCAGTGAAAAATGTCCTAAAGTTACCTCTGCTGCCATGCTTGGTTTATTCCTTATCATACAGACCAAATTCCAGATGTTTGAAAGAAAATACTATTGCTGAAAATATTATATTTTAAATAAGAGTTCTAAATTGTGTGGGGATATCTGCAAACATCTAACAGGTCTTGAGCAACTCACCCGTTCCAAATGAGGCAATATGTTTACAGGCTGAATAACACTAATGGGCAGAAATGTGTGTTAACTAAACCATCTGCAGACTTTTTCTGACCAGCCATCAGTCCAAATTGGACAATTTGTATCACACTAAGCTGATAATCAGGTAATATTTGTAATCAAGTAAGCGAATAATTACACATATTTATAAGGTAGTGAAGCGAGCTGCTATTTAGCTGTGTGGCTAAGCTGCTGCACAGCTCCTGCAGCCACCTGGGCTAATCTTTTACAATCAGTAAATTTTCACAGCCAGCCAGGTGCTTAGCTGAAAATGACAGCGGGATAGTACTGACATAGGGATTTTATGGGTAGGTCATTTTAAGAGATAAGGTAGAATTTGTGGCCAGAGTTTCATTTTAGGGGCGGCTGGTTACCGTTGGTGAGGGGCAGCTAGCAAGCATTAAGGCCAGATATCATGGCTAGCCAGCTTCACAGCTTGTTAGGAGCAAGGAAAAAAACTGGATATAAAAACACAATGCCTGTTTGCTGACCTCACATGACTAGTTGCTATAACAGCTACAGAATAGCACGGTGGCTAAAGGCTAATTAACCAGCGTCCTACCGAGAAAGGTCTGACTGCAGAGCCGCAGAGCCGCAGAGCCGCAGATTCACAACCACAGTTTCATTCCAGCGGTTTCAGGCCTGTGGAACGCATGGGCAGCATATACTCCTTATAGGAGTCCTTATAGGAAAGTTGAGCATTACGAGCGTCACATTCATATTTCAACCAGTGGCCGGTCTCCTCATTTATAATGTCTCTGATGTAAACAGCAACTGGTTGTGCTGGTCATGTGTCACCATGCATACAACCATTCAGGAAGGGAGACTGTTGCCAATATACGAATCAACCACTACTAAGCGGTTAAACCATAAACCAAAACACATTGCAAAGCCATCAAAAACCAAAAGACACACATAATGGTTTCTATGTTCTATGTAAGTACATTGAGCTATAAGTCTACATAGCCCATTAGCTTACCCAGGCTACATAAGCTGTAGTTCGTGTAATATTTACCCTGTGAATCTCTATCTGCGTTCAAACCAAAGTTTGTTTTAGCCTAAAGCTTAAAATATAATGTTAGCCCAATGTAATTTATCACAAATGTATTAGAAACCCACATAAAATGACTGAAATGTTGATTAGTCTCAAACTCGCTAAGAAAACCAAAACAAGTGTTGGCGCATGCGCTGAATGCCACTGGCTTGGCTGCTGAAGTGAAACTGCTGGTGTGAGACGTTCTACCTTTTAAACCACTAGACAAATGTGTTAAAGGCAAATGATTGATGTTCTTTTTGCTTTTTCACAGCGTTAAACTTTGCATTCTTGACCAAGCGTACTACTGTCTAGCTATATAAGTAGCCTATAGGAATTAGCACATTTCCGTTTTTCTGCATCCTTTTATTCACTGAAAGTGGAAGAAAGTAATGGCGATAGAAGAACGCAGTGCCTTTTCTTTTTCCCGGAGAACTGATCTCAGCTGATAGCTCTACTTTTTATGTGAAATGTAATCGCTAGTTAGTATGTCTTTGCCCTTAAACTTCCTGAGTAACCCCTAAATGGCAGGAACGATCAGTGTTCATTAAATATAATACAAACTCCAGTCAGTAATCACCAGCCGGCTGTTTACTTGACCTCAGGTTGTGCTTCAGCCATTGATTATGATTACAGTTTTGCTGATTATTTTTGTCCTCCAGCATATAATTATGCTTACCATTTTGCGCAGCTTGTCGAGCTCATTCGACCCGAGGAGAATCGTTGATTGAGAAGCAAGGCCTAAGGTCACATTAGGTCCTCTCGAGCACCCACGCATCACCATCCATAACCATTATTTAATATCTCAATATTCAAGCACACAAGTCTATGAATAGCTCTTTCCTTCTGCTGTGTAATAGTGTAGTGTGAGTGATTCTCCTGTGGTCTCTTTACCCAGTTGAACAGCTGCCCTCCATAACGGAGCAGTCTCCAGCCTCTCTGATCGCTTTCCCCTTTGATGAAAGCTTCACCGTGAAGTGCGAAGCCACAGGCAACCCTGAACCAGAGTAAGCACTCAACCTTCCACCCCCCCCCACACACACACATAGACACACATAAGTGCACATGCACTCACGCATCCACACACGCTAGCTCATTAGTGGTGCCAAATACGCCTCAAAAACAGCCACAGCTCTAGCATTTCAAAGCATATTTCAAAGCCTTATCTGATTATTTGATGTCATTTTAGATATGATCACCTTAATTTGGAAACTCTCGTCTGCATACATATTGCAGTCTGTTGCACCTTTTTAAAAGACTGTCAATACTGGATGCTTCATGAAAAAGAACTGGAGTCACACTGCAGGAATATATTTAATAAGTTTAATTCACATAGCACTTTTCTCAAACCCAGTAATGCTTGACAATTCCAAATTGGCAGCAAACAAAACATACACATATGTAAACACACAGGCAACTGGCAGGGATGAAAACTCTCCTGACCATGATGTGTAGTTCCCCAACTTGTGGCCTAGTCAAACTTGGCTACTGCAAAGAAATGTCAGGCTCTGCTACTACAGTGAAACGTGTCCCGGCTCGCGGCCTGCAGAGAAAAGTTCCTGCCTCTTGGCCTTGTCAGACTCTGCTGTCACAGTGCAAAATCTCCCACTCGTGGCCCAGTCAAACTGCTCTGTCACTGTGGAAAGTCACCAGCTCATGGCCTAGTCAAGCTCTCCTATCTCAGTGCAAAGTCACCAGCTCTTGACCTGGTCAAACAGTTCATGGCCTAGTCCAACTCCACTTCCACGGTGCAAAATCCCGAGCTCACAGCCAGCTAACATGCTGAAGTGTCCCGGCTCTTTGGTAGTCAAACTCTGCCACCATAGTGAAATGTGTCCCAGCTCATGGCCTAGTCAAACTCCAGTACCATAACAAAAATGTCCCGGCTCACAGCCAAGTTAAAACTTCATGGCCACAGTTTAAAGGTCCCAGCTTGTGGCCTTGTTAAATTCTTTTCTTACAATGTACAATCTCCCACTTCTGGCCTAGTCAAAGTCTGCTACTTTGGTCAGTAGTCACCCAGCTTGCAGCTTAGTCAAACTCCACTGTGATGGTGCAAAGTCCCCAGCTCACGGCCCAGTCAAACTCCGCTGCCGCAATGAAAAATGTCCCAGCTTGAAGTCTAGTCAAATACTGCTACCACGATGCAGAGACTCTGGCTGGTTCCCAGGCCAGCGGAGAAAATTCAGAACAAAGCAAATCAAACATACCACAAACAATACAGAGCAAACAAATAAAAACCTGGTGTAAAGCGGCTGGTGAAATCTGCCCAGTTCTTACATCAGATATGACCACACTCACACACACACACACACACACACACACACACACTGCACTACTTTATATGGTACTTTATTATTTCTATAGTCATTCTATACTGCAAGAATGATTATACGGTTATTTAACTCAGACTTGTTTCAAGCTATTTTGTCCAGAGAGTAGAGCAAGACACTTCTAACATCTAAAAAATGTTAAATAATCTTATAATATTATGAACGATGCCATAATGAGAAATATTAGATATATTGACATGATTTAGGATGTTTTCACTTGCCTAGGTATACTTTCCTGCACTGTAGTATTACTAATCGTAATTTGGAACAATCCTAGTTTATTATAGAATTGGACAGAAGTATTATAGATAAAACAGAACCACACAGATATTCATGGAGGTGAAAGTATTATAGATTAATATAATAGCATTATATATCACTGTAGAAATCTGAAAGTGTCTTATTGTGTAACTGCAGTTCTTTTTCAAGGGTTAAGGACTTAGTTTCTCTATTTTCTTTTTTCCTTTGAGATTCAAATGGACAAAGAATGGGCAAGACTTTGATCCCTATCAGGACCCCAGGTTGATAACCGTAGAAGATTCTGGCTCGTTCGTGATTCTGAACAATGGCAACCTCACGGAATTCCAAGGCAGCTATCGCTGTTACGCCTCCAACAAGCTCGGAACAGCCATGTCAGAGGAAATCGAATTCGTTGTTCCCAGTGAGTAAAGTATAACTCTTCCATTTCGGTGTTCCATTACAGTTCTTTCAGTGTGATTTAGAGAACGGAATCCATTGAAACGGCCGCTCCAGCCGCTGGGGTGAGGGGGGGCTGGATGCCCGTTGTATTTGCCCACCACAAAACCCCTGAGCGTTGTTCTCTCTTCATTGAGCTTGTGTGTGTGGACCTTGAGGATGGAGCCGGTGAAAAATGGACTGGCCGTTCTCTTCATCATACTCCCAGATACATTCCTCACAGTGCTCTAAAAACCACCACATAAATCTTCCGCCGATGGAACCAGGCCATAGGGGGTACTAGTGACAAAACATGGCCGCTTTTCAGTCACTCAGTGCAGTTTGACATGAGGTGGTGCAGCAGTAATGGCGTGTGTTATTACTGTGCTTTGGGATCAAGGTTGGGAAAGTGCTGTAAATCAAAATCTGCTTCACGTCGCTAGAAGACAGACAGGCCACTTGCTGCCCCCTGCTGGCAAAGTACATTATCGCACCTGCATGATTTGAACCCTCGCCTTGTTTCTGCTGCCTTTTCCAGATGTTCCGAAGTTCCCGAAAGAGAAAATTGAGCCAATCGAGGTCGAAGAGGGTCAGCCGGTCATTCTGGAATGCAATCCGCCCAAAGGAATTCCTCCGCTGCAGATCTATTGGATGACCATTGGTGAGTCGCAAAGCATGGCGTGAATTTAAATGTAATAGTCCACAAGATACTTGGATACTTGGTGGTTTAAAATGAACATAGATTTTTTATGTAGTTAAACAGATTGAAGTAGAACATGCTTTTGGTCACCATCTTATATTCCCATAGCAACATCATCTGTGAATTTTGGCAGCAATCTAATAGGTGTGTCTCCAAAATCACCCTGAATGAATCTGAAAAAGACTGTTTTTGTACCAAAAAAGTAAAATTTTCATCATAAATGTTTTTGATTATCGAGTTGTGTGTGTAAGTCACAGAATTCACTCCTATACTATTTAATGACTGTCTTTGCCTATAGCATAGCATCATTTGGAAGCATGTAAAGAACTCCCAGTGAGAGCTGGCCAGGCTTTTTGGATGTTTCTATTCACAGATTCATCAAAACTGTACTATAGTAATGCAGTGAAGTATATTTCAGTTTTATTGTGCCAATATTCACTGTTCTACACTCCGCAAAAATAGTTCTGTATAAGACTGAAAAAAAGGTTCTTTGACTCTTAATAAAAGTAGAATCTTTAAAAAAAGTAGAAACTTTTTCATCATAAACTCTTAAAGATTTTAAGGGATCTTTAGTAAAGAGAAATGGTTCTAATCAGAACTATAAACACTTAAAGAACCTTTTGCATGATTAAAGGTTCTTTGCATCATGACAGCGTTCTTCAGATTGATAGAAAATGTGTTGTAATGGTTCTATGCAGAACCTTTTTGAAAAAAATGGTTTTGTATAGCACTAAAAAGGGTTCGATGTCAGACTTGTCTTAATAGGGGAACCCTTTTTGAAACCCTTTTAAAAAAGTTGCTATATAGAACAATCTACAGCACACCATCCATCAATCTGAAGAACGCTGTCATGATGGAAAGAACACTTTAATGATGCAAAGGGTTCTTTGAGTGTTCATGGTTCTATATATAATTCCATTTTCTTTGCTAAAGAACACTTGAAGGACCATCTTTTATAGGTGTGTAGAGAAGAATCATTTGAGCATGCAGAGCCATATCTGTTCATTCAAATGATTCTTTGAGTGTTAATGGTTCAATATAGAACTATTGCCTTTGTGAAAGAACCCTGGAAGAACCGTTTGTTTTAAGTATGTACTTTGTGGTCGAAAAAAAAGACTCTTTTGACTAATCTCATAATCATCATCAAATTGGATGCAGATGTTTTTACATATTTGGTTTGTTTAATAACACATAAAATTAGAATTAATATATTAGTTTCAGGGCGGCACGGTGGCGCAGTGGGTAGCGCTGTTGCCTCACAGCGAGAATGGCCTGGGTTCGATTCCCGGCTGGGCGACCAGGGTCATTTCTGTGTGGAGTTTGCATGTTCTCCCCGTGTCTGCGTGGGTTTCCTCCGGGTACTCTGGTTTCCTCCCACAGTCCAAAGACATGCAATCAGGCCGATTGGACGTGCTAAAATTGCCCCTAGGTGTGAGTGTGTGTATGAATGTGTATGTCTGTCTGCCTGCCCTGCGATGGACTGGCGACCTGTCCAGGGTGTATCCTGCCTTCTGCCCAATGACAGCTGGGATAGGCTCCAGCACCCCACCGCGACCCAGAAGGATAAGCGGTTTAGATGATGTATGTATGTATATTAGTTTCAGTAAAAGCTACAACTCAGCTCTCAGGCTGTGACAGTTTGCCTGAGTGCCCTTTAACTGGTAGGTGTTTGAAACAGTATACATTTTCATTTGTAGCAGGGATGTGTAGATCACTTGTATAAAATAAATATTGAAATTATTCTTCAAAACAATAAAATGTTAGATTGTGTCCTGCCCTCCACTAATTATTTTCCTTTTTCAGTTATTAATTTACTCAAAGCTGGTGCTGGAGGAACGTGACTCTGCTCTCATTTGAGTTGATTTTAGTAAGAGGCACTTACTGTGTGGTAAACCCTGCTGAGAAATCCTCTTAATGATCATCCTATTGCTGCACTGCCTTTAACAAGAAATTAAAATGTAAAAGGATCAGTAACGTAAAGCTGAGCTCCAAACACAGCGGAACGCGCTGAAACTGAAACCCCTGAATCAAGACAAATCTTATTAACTCATAAAGTGATCATATGTACAAAAGCAGCTGTTCTGCGTTTGCTAAAAATGTACTGAAGTGAAGGATATTTAGTTTTAATGTGCCAATATTCACTGTTCTAAGCAAAAATGGTTAATTGTAGTGCTGAAAAAAAGGGTTCTTTGACTCATAACAATAGTGGAACCCTTTTTTGGTGCTATATTTTTAAAAGGGTTCTTTAAAGAACCATTTACAACTGTTTTTTCATCATACACTCTTAAAAAGATGGTTCTTCAAGGGTCCCTTAGTAAAGCTGAATGGTTTTTTATTTAATGTCAAGCTTGTTACAATAGAGGAACCCTTTTGGAACCCTTTTTAAAAAAGAAATTCTAGATAAAACCACCTATAGCATGTTCTCTATCAATCCGAAGAACACTTTCATGATACGGTCCATATATTTTCCTGAGGGTTCCTTAATAAAGCTCAGTGGTTCTATATAGAACCATGAACACTCAAAGAACGCTTTGCATGATTAAAGGGTTCATTTCATCATGAAAGTGTTCGAGATTGATGAAGAATGTGTTGTATGTTCTATATAGAACCTTTTTAAAAATGGTTCCAAAAAGGGTTATACTACTGTTATAATGTCAAGCTTGTTACAATAGAGGAACCCTTTTTGGAACCATTTTTAAAAAAGGTTCTATATAGAACCACCTATAGCACATTCTCCATAAATCTGAAGAACGCTTTCATGATGCAAAGAGTTTTTTGAATGTTCATGGTTCTGTATAGAACCATTTTCTCATAAGGTGAACATGTGTATATAAGCATAGCTGTTCTGCATTAGCTAGCACTAATCCGTGGTACTGAATGTTTTTTCTGTGCCCTGTCTGTCTCCTGTAAAGGTCTGCAGCACATAGAGCAGGACGAGAGAGTGACCGTGGGCCTGAACGGAAACCTGTACTTCTCCGACGCCGTTCAGAAGGACAGCCGGCGGGATTACTGCTGCTTCGCCGCTTTCCCCCGCATACGCACCATCGTCCAAAAAACAGCCATGTCCGTCATCGTTACCAGCAGTATGTGACCACACCTCACTTTAAGAGCATGTTTGAGTGATTATGTTGTTGTTGTCATATCAAAACCTTGCAACTCGTTTTTTGTTTTTATATCATCATTTGAAAGCATCAGCTGCCCTAAACTTTCATAATGAACTGACCAAAAGAAATGGCCCAAAATAGGGTCCGTAAAATCGCTAATGTACGTTTTTTTTGTGTCGTATTTTCCACTGAGGTCAACGTATGATATTGGTGTGCTTTTATGTGACTAAAATGGTTATATTATATGTTTACCTGACCATTTTCAAACATCTCTTTAGCCCCTAACACAGGGGTCAGCAACCCAAATGTTAAGAACCATTTTATCCTTTTAATAAAAATCAAATCACTTTGGGATCCACAACATTTTATGTCCATTTTACCATCTTGGCTGTAAATAAGTCTTGGTATGTGCTGATGTACTAGTATAGGCAAACTTTGCTCTGCTCAGCTATAGCCACTTTTCTCACATCTCTGGCAGGAAACTTTTCGCAAAAGTGGAATAGCTTCTTGTAAAATGTCTCTCAGCGTTCGCTTTTTACAAGGCTGAAGTCGCTTCTCATTCACCAGCCTCTTGTTCGAATGCTATGGTGACCAGCAGTCGGCGCACCAGTCTTCAGGGTTAAAGGGTGAATTAGCAGTTCTACATTAACTCCAGAGTTTAAGACCATTTACTGTTAAACTGTGTTGAACGATCAGCAGAGCTTTATTTTACTGTAAAGGAGGATTATTTTATTTTTACCTACAAATCTAATTCTGCTGTGGAGCCACAACAGGGCAGTAAAAGAGCCGCATGGGGCTCCGGAGTTACCGACCCCTGCCCTAATATAAAGTAGACTGTGTGCCTTTAGGACTGAGACATGCAAACTGAGACTGAGAACTTAAATGTGAGTGGGCGGGGCTAAACTGTTACAGGCCAATAGGTAGATATAGGTAAAGGAACTGGTTCACATGACATCACAAAAACAGTGAATTCAAAACAGGCTGTTTCTACAGTTTAGTTTCCATATATGGACTGTATGGACTGGGGAGTGAACTCTATCCTTTGACAGTTTAACAATGTTCACATAACATCAAACTCAATTCCACAATTAACCTTTAATTTAATAACATTTTCCCTTCAATTTTAAAGTTTTGGAGATTCAAGGTTTGTTACGACAGCAGCAACATGTTATTCTATCACATAACGGGATCCACAGATGCTGTGACAAACGCTCAGGTTGACCTGAGATGTGGAGTTGAAGTTACGGATCAAATGTTTCATTTGCATGTCAGACATCTGGTGTCATCCATTCTGTGTTTGAGGGCTTGTTTTGCACCAATCATGATCTTGGATTTTCAGTATTTTTGCATTGGCCAGCATTAAAGTCACAGTCAGGGCTTTTTGCAGCCTTCAGTAGCCATCCTGAAATTCAAAACACAGAGCTTAAAATACAAGAACCAGCAATCAGCGACAGACAGGGCTGTGAAAAAGTATTTGCCCAGAGTTATTTTCTTTAATATCATAATTTTTGCATGTTTGTCAGACTTATTTGCTTCAGATCATCAACAAAATTTAATAGGACACAGAAAATCTGAGTAGACAGTTTTTAAATGATCATTTCATTTATTGAAGGAGTAAAAAAAAAATCAATATCCAGCACCAGCTGGCCCGTTGTGAAGAAGTACTTGCCCCTTTATTTCCTAAACCAGTTAACAATTGACCAAATTTAGTCAATAATTGGGACCATTATCTCATTATATTAGCAGACTATTCAGTTTGTTTCAAGCATATTTCTTAAAATAAGCAATTATCACATCATCTGCTAATGAAGTGATATATTTCACTTAATAAAATTGCATAAAACAAGTAATAAACATCTAGAAATAAGTAAATGATCTTAAAATGCTCCAACAATCTCAAGATGAGGAACATTAGATATTTTGATTAAATTTTGATATTTTTATGATTTCACTTACTAAGATACATGTTTGTGGTGTGTTTAGAAAAGTAAGATCTGAAACATGAATCTAATCATACATCTAATCATAATATAATATAATATTTAAGGCTGTTGTAAGAATATCAAAGTTTTTCAACCTATTTCTAGACATTTTACCTTGTTATAAGTAATTTTCTCTAGGCAAAATATCTTATTCTGTTGGCAAGTAATAAACAAGTAAGTGTTTATTACTTCAAGCATTATTTCACAACACGTAAAATGATCTGCCAGTGGAATAAGACAGTCGTGCTGGATTAAACGTCTAGAAATGGGATGAATAATGTCATAATATTTTTACATCAGGCTTAGAATGAAATGTATAAGATATAGTGACTAGTTTTAAGATTAAGATATAATATTTTGAGGTGCATATGAATACAAGGCCATAAATGGCTTTTTAGATCCCTGATTGTAACTTTAATCATAGCTGGCAGATGTTGATATATCTCACTTATGGTTCGTTGCATTTATGATTTGAGTTTATTTTTGCATCCATGTGTTTTCCATCTTTTTCCACCTCTCCATTTCAGCCAAGTCAATGAGTGACTCTGGGGGCAGGGGCTCTGGTGAGTGCTGTTCACTATGGCTGCTTTACTAGAATAGCATGAAACAAACAACCAGTCATTCAAATGCTTCACCAGGAGCATCGACATATTACACCTGATTATTCTGTAGGACGTGATCCATTCTGAAGCATCTGTTGGCTGCACTGAAACTATTATTTTTCTTTTATCCAATGCCATATGCCACTATTTGTGTTTAATAAAGAGTATAATGTAATGAATCTGCACATATGTGCTTCTAAGCAGAGGCTTAGTGTTTAATCTTACCTGTCATATGGTCTCCCTCCTTTTTCAGCAAATTCCATTCTGGAGAGGAAGCCCAGTCTACTGTCGCCCTCTGGTGACCGCACGTACACACATATCGAGAAGGGAAAGGAACTGCTGTTAGAGTGCATTGGTGAAGGATAGTAAGTGAGCTTCACTAACTGGATAATGCTGCGTTTTACAGTCTCCTAAGTTCTAGATACCAACCAGGCAAGTGTGAGCTTCAAACTCCAAAGTAAATAAGGCTGTTATTTTGGGTTAATATGCTGGTGAGTTTCAAGAAAGTCTAATTAAATTACACTGAAATGCCTCATATAACTAGGTTACATGTTAAATACATTAATTATATTATGTCATATTACATTATATTATAGTATATTATATAAACTGGAATGCAAAAGTTTACGCACCCTGGGTAAATTGCATGCCTCTGTTGTTTTTCTAAGTGAAAATTGAAAAGAAGTTAACACATCCTCTACAGAGAACGCACTTCTGCACATTTTTAATGCACAATTACTGTTATTTCCATATTGAAAAGAAATAAATTAAATATAGCCTGTTCAAGAGGTATGATGCATGTTTATTTATTTTTTTTCTTTTTGTGTTTTTTTTCCCCCAATATGTTAATCTCAGCAAAAACATAGAAATTTTGCTCTATAATCTGCAGCATATTTGCATTTGACGTTACATTAATTTGTTTGTATCACTACCTTGTTACTCCAAATAATAATACAGTTATGAATTATTATACTATGTGGTTAGACTATCTGGGTACTTACCCCCTTTTACCCAAAATAATTAAACAGCACTTTGGACCTCACATTTACCCAGTTTATATCTAGAACTTGGTGAGAACAAGTGTAAGCTATTTCTGGTGTCTTGCAAATGTTTATCTAGTACTTTGTACCTCAGACTTTTACTTTGTATTTTGTACCGCAGACTTTTACTTTGTACTTTGTACCTCAGACTTTTACTCTGTATTTTGTACAGCAGACTTTTACTTTGTAGTTTATACCTCAGACTTTACTTTGTAGTTTGTACATCACACTTTCCCCACTTAATACCTAGAACTTAAGGGACTTTAAGGTAATTAAATGAATTAATTTACTAATGTTTTGTTAGTAATAAGTGTGATGGTACCATTCAGCATGCCTCATATTACAGCCCAGTCAGGACTTTATCTGTGTAAAGTCAGACAGGGCAGCGTCGACTTACTCACAAGTCCAGTCCAATTCAGTTCAGTGCAGTCTCTCTGCAAATATCTCTCTAAATGCCATACGGAGGCCAGCGGTCATTCAGTGGCAGTAAGTCACTCACTGTGGCCTTTACTTCACCAGCCCAACTCCGAAGATTGAGTGGACCAAGCTAGGACAGAAGCTTCCTGACCGGGCTGTAGTGGAAAATCATGGCAAGCTCCTCACCATAGACAATGTGAAGGAAGAGGATGAAGGGAAATACATGTGCAAGGCCAGAAATGCCCACGGAGAAGCTGTGCACTACTTCCATGTGACGGTCGAAGGTGAGATATGCATTCATTATCCGAAATAGAAGTGAATTAAAACAAACAGTATATGTTATGGGACTATAGATGCATTGTGTTGTCATTATTACGTGTCAATCATTTATGTCATGTCAGACATTTAACAGTTATGTGTGTAAGTTAACACATCCTCTACAGTAGACATATTAAAATGTGCCATTTTTCAGCTAATTTGAGAGCACAAAGTTCTATTTATTTGCTTTGACATATTAAACAAAAAATAAAACACAGCAAAATGTGAAAAAAGAAAGTGTTTTTATTCTGACTTAGGTTTTAAAAGTTTTATGCTGTAGCTTAAATGCTGTAATACTGAGCATGAATGTTATTATTTATTGGTATTTGGTAATTGGTAATAGGTACTTTTGGAGCATTTCTATTGGCCCATGAAATTGTATGCAGCATTTTCAAATGGTGTCAATAATAAAAAATGGCAAAATGTGTTCTTTTTTTGGTAGCAATGATGTATAGGTACCTTAAATATTCTTAAATGTCACTGTTTTGTATAGAACCTCCCAAGTGGGACGTAGAACCCAAGAGCCAGCTGAATATGATCGGTGCTGATGTCGTCATCAAATGTGCTGCATCAGGCAGTCCAACCCCAACTGTGGCGTGGAGGCTGAATGGACGCCCTCTCAAAGGTTCGACTGTTTCTCTCTGCATTACCACTGTTGTACTGTTGTGAACACTACATATAAAACTCTATACTTAAGTTAAAGACATTGTGAATTCTTGTTTCTATCACTACCACTATAAAGAAATCCAAATCAGTTAATCTCTCTACAGACAGTATAAAGGCTATTGTCTAAAGTATCAGATGACCACTTGGTTTCCTTTATTCCTATCAGTTTACACCCAGTTGAGTGATATGAATGGTTTCACTTATTTATAGAAGGTTTGTTAGGAAAGCTAGCTTGTATATGATTATGCAGATTAACAGTGCATGCTGTGTGACACTGTTTTATATCTGTGTCTGTTTCAGAGGTTCCAGCAGGTAACAGAAGAGACTATGATGACACGATCGTCATCCACAACGCCAGCCCTTCTGACAGTGCAGTTTACCAATGTGAAGCCTCCAACCGACATGGGACCATACTGGCTAATGCAAACATCATGATCATGAGTGAGTACAGCCTGCGGGAGGCGAAACTCTTAGCGTGCTTTGCTTTACTTAAGAATCAATTTTACACTTCAAAATAATTGCACAGGGTACAACACAGTCTGCAAAAATAAACTTACCTTTAATAAACAAGAGATTATAGCAAAAAAAATAAATAAATTATATACATACATTATAATGTCTGGGAATCTTCTGGGAAGCTTTCTACAAGATGTTGTGGAGTGTCTGTGGGAATTTTTGCTCATTCATCCATAAGAGCATTTATGAGGTCAGACACTGATGTTGGACGAGAGGGTCTGGCTCACAATCTGCATTCTAGTTCATCCCAAAGGTGTTGGATGGGGTTGAGGTCAGGGCTCTGTGAGGGCCAGTCAAGTTCTTCCACACCAAACTCACCCAGCCAGGCCTTTATGGACCCTGCTTTGCGCACTGGGGCTCAGTCATGCTGGAACAGAAAAGGTTGTTCCCCAAACTGTTCACACAAAGTTGGAAGCGTGCAATGGTCTGAAATGTCTTGTTCTGCTGAAGCATTAAGATTTCCCTTCACTGGAACTAAGGGTTCTAGACCAACAGCTGAAAAACAACCCCATAGCATCATCCCTCCTCCACCAAACTGTACAGCTGGCACAGTGCAGTCAGGCAGGTAACGTTCTCCTGGCATTCGCCAAACCCAGACTCGTCCATCAGACTGACAGATAGAGAAGGGTGATTCGTCACTTCCACAGAATGAGTTTCCAGTGCTCCAGAGTCCAGTGGCAGCAAGATTTACACCATATATATATAAAACAGACTGTTTTTATTAAAATGTTTAATGTATGTCTCAGTTGCTGTCATGTAATGCTGTGCGGTACAGCTCAGTATTAACCTCACAGTTCTTTGCTGTGCAAATATCTTTAAATGAGCTGATTTTACAATAAAATGTAAAAAAAACACACTACTTTAGTATGAAAAAGTAGTGTTCAACATTGTGAAGTCCTGGCAGTAATTAACAGTGTACTGTTGCAGTTGAATCACCAAATCTGCTCTGACATATGCTCAGAGATTTGCCTTCAGTCCATTAAGCCTGAATAGAAAGCACAGGAAAGCAGCACAATGTTACCCCGCAAAAGAATAAACGTCTGCTTCTTTGTTGGCGTTGCCCTGGACATAAGGAAAGCACTGATATGGCCAGTGCAGTTGGGTTTTCTGTGAAAGGGAGTGTGCAGTATAATGTGTAGGGTTGTTCCTTTATGAGGAGACTCGTACAGCCTCGTGTCCCTCAGCTTCCTCCTGTGGAAATGAGGTTCTTTTATATGCTAACAAGTTTGTCCTTCCTCTTCCCATTCACACACAGTAAGCAAAGCATGTGCCTCTTTCATCTGACCAGATAAAACAAGAGACTGGGCTCTATCTCGCTTTTCAAAAAGAGAGAGAGGAGATAAAAAAATAGGGCTGTATTTTCCTCTCAAAGCTAGAATTCCCACTATAAGAGTCATGTGATATATCTTGCCTTTGGTAGAGCAGGACGGTGGTATTCTAGGGGTTACAGGTCAGATTTTGGTGTAAACTGATAACACCGAAGCACAGAAAGCCAGTCAGACCAAAGAAGCTAGAACAGTTGTATACCTGTAATATCATCAGTGATACATTCACAGACTTTGTCACTTTTAAAGGGGAACTCCACCGATTTTGCAAAATTAGACAATCATTGAATGGTTTAGATCAGGGGTGTCCAATCTTATCTGCAAAGGGCTGGTGTGGCTGCAGTTTTTCACTCCAAACAAGCTGGAGCTCACCTGACTCCACGTGCGGTCTCTAGTTATCAAACATTTCATCAGGTGACCTCCTGCTTTGTTGGAGTGAAAACCTGCAGCCACACCGGCCCTCTGCATTCAGAGTGGTTTGGTGTGAAATGTGCCTTTCTAGAGAAATTTACCAAGTCAGAATTGTTCACCATTATAGTACTAGGAACCAGACGTCCGAAGCATTTAATGGCTCTAAAAGCTACGTCTCGCTAAGTTATTACACAAAGTGGTTAAGAATACGTTGCTTGATTATTATAATTGCTTGTTTTATTATAAAGTTTTGGCCTTAAAATGTATTTTTAGTATAAACTATTATATTATTAACCACATTCTCAACTGAGATCAATGCACACAAGCTTACATGCTTTTGTAGTTACTAGCCTGTAGCTACAGCCATTCAATGCAGTTCAAATCTGCCCCCTGAGTAACTTTTCATTTATAGTCTAAGGTTCACATATTAACCAGGTAAGCGTGAGGTACAAAAGTACTTGGTAAGTTACAAGACAGTACAACTTAATTTCTCTGAGGTTACAGTGGTTGAGATAAAAAACAAAGTATCTCATAATTGGATGAATTTGTGGAGTAATAAGGTGGTAAGCATACACAAACATACCATGCATTTCAATGTAATGTGTGTTTTTTTCAATACAATGTTTACACGTTTAAGCAGGAAAGTGAATTAGAAATCTCAAACTAAGAGGTGGTTATTTGGGGTAAAAACCCAGTGCAAAGGCACTTGAAGAGCCTTATATGGTATGAATCTGTCTATTACACAGAACCAAAACTGATTCTGGGTTTATATAAGTAAGCATTAGTTCTTTGTGTGTTTTTTCTGTGTTCTTATTATTTTTACAATTCATAATCTGGTTAAATGTGTGAAATTACACTGACATTTTGCGAAAGCTTATTTATACTTACTAGTTTGTTATTATGAAAGTTCCTTCTCAGCTTATTATCAACTTATTACCTGTTAGAAATTTTAGTGTAATTTATTTAAAATGTCTTGGTACTTTTTTTTACCCAAAACAATTACACAGCACTCTGGAGATGGTTTATTTAAAGTTTGTGCAAGCAAGAAGTTATTAAATGCTAAAAAAATCTATTTAAATTGACTTCTGTCAAGATATCTGCCAAGAATTCTGAAGAATTCTGGATATTAAATGTAAAAGTCATAAATCTTCATTCTCAATACTCAGAGACTAAAGTTGAAAATTAACAAACTAGCACATTTACAGAAGTGTGATTAATGTGGATGTCCCTGTAAATCTAAACAAAACTAAATCAATAAATAAATATGCTGTAAAACTTTTCATTTCAGACGGCAAGAGACAAAATACAGACACAAAAGGAATTATGTATACAAGGATTATTTATAATATAGCGTATCGCTGCTATCAGAACAAAACCTCTCATCTCCAAAAAGGTAACTTTACATCACAAGGAAGAACATTAACTTTTAGAGGAAGTAAATGGAGAAATATTTTTTCCAAGGAATTTTGGACCGTTTCTGTTGGTCCGTTCATCATGAAATTTTGGTACAACATTTGTTTTAAAAATTGTCCAAAACACAAATGGGAGACACAAGGTTCCCCAACAGCAACAATATATAGGAGTGCAAATACAAGGTGCCCCAACAGCAACAATATATAGGAGTGCAGCAGTTTCTATTATAAGAATGTAATGAGCTTTAAGATGTGTTACAAGTTTAGTTTCTTAAAGGAAAAAGAATCTCATGTAATCACAGATATGTTGATGAAGGCTATTCTAGAGTCTGGGAGCAGAATTAGAGGATTTGTTCATCAGGTTGTCTATTACTGTATAAAAGAAGCTCCATGCTGCCTTTATTGTTGGATGCACTGTGATGGTTTCTGAGTGAACATGCACCACATTTAGAAAGCGATTAACATTGATATGGAAGCATAATAAGGAATAACAGAAGGCCACTGAGGTGTGAAGTGTCTTCCTATTCTTGTGTTTGCGTGCTCAGAATGGTGGTTTGTGATAAACAGTATAAAATAAATGTCTAAATAAGTCTAAATAAATGTGACGAGAGCATTTAGAAATAACATCATTGACATTAAATTAAAAAGCAGAAATGTCTACTTATTTCCATCATATCAATAATTCTCTTCACAGACCTGCGGCCGTTGATCCTGACAGAAGACGGTGTCCAGTACTCGGCGGTGGAGGGGAAAGGAGTGATCATGCACTGCAAAGTCTTCAGCTCTCCGCCCTCAGCCATCAGCTGGTGAGTGGTTCAGTGTGTGGAAAGCTCATCCCAGACCAGCAGAGAGCACTGCAGCTCCTACTGTATCAGCCACAGCAGCTCTCACAGGCCAACGCTCCGCTGCCCCACTTTATTCAGCAGCACTAGCTGCAGGGAGAGCAGCGGCCTCATGATGTAAACAGGGTTATTCATGCTTGTACAGTGTGTGTGTTTTGTCAGCAGGAAATATATGAGCTCTACGTTCGTATGCATTCTGTGTAAAGTATTGAGAATAGGCTTGTACTGTGATTCATGTCTTAAAGGAGAATCCCATCGAATTTCCAAATTTCTGCATAATTAAATGGTTAAGATGTAAACAAAGACATTCAGAGTGGTTCGGTGTGAAATGCTCCGTTCTTGAGAAACAGTCAGGATAGTTCACAGTGGTGGTGATAGGAACCAGACGTCCACGGCTAAAAGCTCCCTCACAGGAAGCTATTACATGAAATTTCTAGACATTGTTTAAATGATAGTTTTGAGAAGGTTTTGGCCTAATGTGTTTTTAAACAACAACAACAACAACAACAACAACAACAACAACAACAACAACAACAACAACAACAACAACACTGTACAATAAAGACATTTATTGTTATTATTTACAAATTACATGTACAAACATGCAAAAACAATACACAATTTAAAAAAATCACAATTCTGGTTCACCCAGCTGGAAAAGGTGGGTATTAAGAGTAGCTTTGAACATAGCCAGGGTCGAGCAAGCACGCAGCTCGGCGGGGAGCTTGGGGCCGGCAACACTGAAAGCCCTATTGCCAAAAGTACGCAGCTTAGAGGGAGGAACTTTGAGCAGATGTGAGTCAAAGGAGCGAGGAGTGCGTGCTGGAGAGTGTGTTTGTATTGAACACTATACTGTACTGGGGGCCAATGAAGATGCTTCAAAGTTGGACTGATGTGCTCCCAGGATCTAGTGTGGCTTAAAACCCTAGCAGCTGAATTTTGCACATATTGCAGTCTATTCAGAACCCGAGAAGGGAGTCCATGTAGCACAGCATTGCAGTAGTCAGTTCTAGATGTTACAAAAGCATGGATAACAGTCTCAGCAGCAGAAAAAGAGGGAAAAGGGCGGATCCTAGCGATGCTCTTCAGATGGAAAAAAGGCTGCCTTACAAGTGATTTTGATATGGGGTTCAAAAGACAGAGTGGAGTCAAAAATACTCCCAAATTTCTAATCTGGGTCGAAGAACAGGCAATGTAACACGGAATAGAAACAGCAAATGTTGCTTATCTTTTAAATACATTGTGGAGAGGAATATGCAGGGCAAAATAGTCAGATTTATCACTATTTCACCATCATCAAAATTGCAAATTAAATCTCAGAAGACTCGTGTAGGTTCACTGGTGGTTTTGGATAGTAAATAAAATGGCTATATTTGTGTTGTATACGTTGTGACCCTTGGTTCCTAAAACCACCAGTGGTAATGTCTTTTTAAGCCACTTTAAAACATACTTGTTATAGATTATTATAGATTTATTATAAGAGGCTAGTTACCGACAGTCTGCAGACAGTACAATATAAACCCCTTTTTTAGTATGGAGGCCGATTTTTGCCAGGAAGGAGAAAAAAAAACAAAAACCTCACTGCTTGTTTCTAATTGTTGTCTCTGTTTCTGTGAGCCGTATTTCCAAATTTAACTTTTTATTTCTAAAGTTTGACTTTTCATCTCAAAATAATGACGTTTTCTCTATACTTAGTAAAACAAAAACTGACTTATTATTAAGTACATGTTGTGGAGTCAAGCCAAGCCTGTGTTCTGTTAGTTTAAAAATCTTTGAGTAAGTTTGTTATTAAGACGCTCGAGCTTGCTAAGTTGAGGTTATTTAGTTCATTAGAAAGGCTGTTGCTATTGCCGTTGCCGAGTGGTCATTAAAGCTGAGTTACGGACCAGGGGCCAAATTACAGAAACTTCTTAAGTCTGAAATCTTCTCATCTGCTTAGTCACCATGACAACTTTAGTTAGGGCTGAATTTAGGACAGTAGTTATTACAGAATAACAGTTCTTAAGTTCATAATCTTATCATTAACTCCAGATAAGAAAACAGTATTACAGAAACATCCTAACTAGACTAAATGAAAATTCTGTCCTAACTTTAAGACAAACCACAGAGGGTCTTAACTTCTGTTTTAACCATCTGTTTTCTATTGTTTTGTGCAGTGAGAGGCAGCACAGTTCACTCTAAGTGACAATGACGCTACATTTATGTGAGGGTTTTTAAAAACCCCAGACGCTGCAGACTCGATCTCCACCGTCCCTCATATTACCTTCGTGTGTTAATGTTGATGATAAAATATTAGTGATGGTGGTGAATAATGAGGAGACAGAGCTGAACGTGTGTCTGTTTATTAGGAGGAATAACGTTAGCGCGCTCGGCTAAAGTGTTTGGGAAATGAAACTGAAACTGTGGAGCAGCGACTCTGATAAACAGCACGAAACGCTGAGACAATATTCTTAACTCTCAGTTTATCGCGCTTTAGTTTTGTTTGATCTTTTTGTACATCAGTAATGGTAGTTAGCTGCCTAGCTTGATAATTCTGATTGTGTTTACGTTTAGCTGTGCCTATATGGTCGATTGCTAGGCAACAGAAATGCCAGTTGATTGTCAACTTCAATCAAGTACGTTAAGACTTCTTAACTTGAGATAAGATGCTGTGAGAAAAGACAAGATTCCTAAATTAGGATAAGAGAAAGAGATAGGACGTTTCAATAATACAGCCCCAGAACCTTAACGTCCGAGTTTCTTCTAAGAACCCACTTTGCTACATTATTACTCTGTGCTTTTTATGTAATTTTTCATTGAAAGGTAACACAGCATTATTTAGAGGAAATAAGTGAGAAGTGAGAATTCGTCAAAAAGTCAAAAAGTCGTATTCTGAATTTTCTAAACTGCTGTCAGAAATGGGAAAAACACAACAGGCAGATTCTAAGCAACAACAGTGGCAGCTGTGTTAGTATTTACTATCAGCTTTGGTCAATCAGAGTAGGTGGTTCATTATAGTAACATCCTACCAATGTTTTGTGCTGCGAGAGGAAACTCATACAAACATGTGCAAAAGTTTGAACAGTTCTGGTCAAATTATATGTTTTTTTTGATTGTCTAAGTAAAATAATTAACACATTCTCTACACGGAACTTATATCTACCATTTTTCTATTTAATTATATATGTAAGTTTAACATATTGAAAAAAGAAACGTATTAAAATGTGAAGAAATGTGATCGCTGTAGTGAAGTGTGAACATATTTTCATTTAGAAATCTGTACATGTGCAGTGAGACGAAAGTGCAAAATAGCAGCGAACACCCGTTTTCTCTTATTATAGACACTAAAAGGCTGTTATTATGGCAAAACACTTTAGCAGCCCTGCTCCACACTATGTTCAAACAGTGGGGAGCAGCTAAGCTTCACGGTTTCTGATGTTTTTTCAGGAGTAAGGTGGACAGCGCCAGTGCGGTGGAGGGGTCGAGGTTCAGTGTGCATGAGAACGGCTCGCTGGAGATCCACAGTGTGGAGAGGGAGGACGAGGGAGAGTACTCCTGCTTCACTCAAAACACAGAGGGCAAATCCGCCATTACCGCCATGCTGGAGGTCAAAGGTGCGAGAGAGATGTCTCTGATGAATGTTCCTAATGATCTCGCTTTGCTCCTCAGTCTGGAATTAGGAACGAAATGAGTGAAAACTCATTTGAAAGTTGCTAATAACTTGTTCCTGTCTTTTATTCACTGTTAGAAGTGAGGTCAAGGTTAGGGGAAGTATTAATTAGCAGCAGAGGTTAATTTCAGTGTATGTATTTCTCTCAGAGAGAACTAAAAAAGGACGTTATGTTTGGTTTCAGGCTTTTGATTTCAGATCTTTTAACTGCATCTGCTCATTGAAGTTAATCAAAATCAGTAGCAGTTAAACAAAGCAGACTGAATGTAAAGGGTTTTGCTTAAATGACTGAAATTTCTTTCTGAGATAAATATAAATTTGAGTTAAAGCTTAAAGTTAACCTGATTTTAAAAATCAAAATTGACCTTTATCTTGTTAGTTTATGTTCCTGGCCATAATAAGCTCACAATAAACTCATGTCATACCATTTAAAAGACAAATTGTGAGAGTTGTGAGCTCCAATTTACACTGATGTCAAGCATTTATTTATTCATGTACATTTTTTATATATTCCTGCAACACCTCTTTTTCAACTGTTGATGTCTAAAATTTTGGAAATGAGAAATATTTGAGAGTAATAAGGATCCAGCAGGTAGACAACATTCATATCCTTCAGTAGGTCAGTTGGAGCTCTGTATGGTACAGCAACACACTTGTGGAATTCATTTTTTCTTTTTTTTTTGGACAAGTTTTTACCCTAATTCTCATTAAAGCAACGTGTCCACATTTGTGTTTCTCATTACCGATATTTACCATTTTTTCCACTTTCAATTAGAAAACATGAGTTTGTATAACTTTTGACTGTTGAATCTCTTTACCTTAGTGTTTTCCCTTTAAACTTCAAGGAGCTGAACCAAAATAACAAAATGACAAAATGGCACTAGTAGAATCTAAGTGGCTGTCAGTGTGTTTCAGTAATGAGAAAATGAAAGAAATTGGTCCCAGTATTTGTCATGTTTATGAGAAAATCCTTCTTATGGTAAGAAAATCTTATCAAAGAAAGTTTTTCTTGATTTCAAGCTTGTGCACTGAATTTTAGTTCTTTAAAACATTTAAAACTCAAACAAGTCTGTTAAATCTCTGTTTCAGCGCCCACCAGAATAGTGAACCCTCCTCAAGACCTGCGCATTCTGGTAGGAACCACAGCCCAGTTCTCATGCCAGCCTGAGGTAGACCCGTCCTTCACTGACGACTACGAGATTATCTGGGAGAAGGATGGCGTGGCCCTCAATGACAGCGAGAGTGCAGGGTAAGAGGCCTGAGAGCTGCCACTGCTCTTCAGTGAGGTGTATGAGTGACCTGCTCAATGCATTGTGTTCACTGACTGTCATCAGGTATGTTGTGGAGGACGAGATGCTTCAGATCATCAACGTGAGCTTCAGAGATCAGGGTGTGTACATTTGTGTGGCCAGGACTCCAGTGGACCAGGACTCTGCAGTGGCACTGCTTACAGTACTGGGTGAGTAAGAGGACGAAGTGTAGACTGGACAGTTTGCTGCTTTTACAGTGTGCAATACACTGTACACTGCTTTTATGCTCTTGTTTCAGATGTACCCGAACCCCCTGAGGATGTGGTGCTGGCTGAACATAAAAACAGGACCGTGAAGCTGAAATGGGTTCCAGGAGATGACCATAACAGCACCATCACCGGTAATCAGGCCTCCTGTAACCCACCACAAACACAAGCTTGCTGTTTAATGAGAGACAATGACTTTAGTGATATATGAGCTCATGGAATACGTTTTTAAACTGGTTGAAAGTGTCGTGCTCTTAGCTACCACAAATAATGTCAGTATATAAAGATTATATTGGTAACCAATTTGATTTTTGTGCTTGTTTGGCAAGGATTAAGCCTAGTCCTGGACTATCAAGATTTTGAATGGAGATTTTCTATTAAACTGAAAATATACTCCATGACTGGAGTTAATCCCTGTCTACGAAAACTAGAGTTATTGCTGTTTTCTATAAGTTTGGTATGTGGAAAGTCTCCATTCAAAATCCTATGTAGACCAGGATTAAGCTCAATTCCTGTCCAGGAAGCTGGCCCAATACATTCGTCCTTTCCCAAAAAACAAGACATAATACTTTCAGTTTCAAATCATATGATATTTCCTCTCCTCACAAACTCAGACATTTAGTGTGTTTACGTGCACTTAATAATCCGATAACTGCAGAAAATCAGATTTTGTCAGTAATCCGATCAATGTGTTAACATGCACTTGGGTAATCAGATAATGGGGAAACTTTGGGTCTACATGAGTCAGACAATAAATCGGATTTCTGCTTTTCAGCCAGCCAATAAACTCACAGAAGAAGACGTGACGTAAATGTAACGTAAAACTCAAACTTCATGCTGTAGCTTTTTTTTTGTGCCATTTTAGCTTTTAAAATATAAAAAAAACACACATCTAGAAGATGAAGAATATTTAAATCCTTAATTTCGTCAAGAATGTGTTTGGTTTCAGGGTTGCTCCAAAAGTGTTTTGCTGCATTTCACAGCAGCACTGCTTGATTATTTCTGGTACAGCAGTCTGTTTTCACACATGCGGACACTGAGAAATCTGAAAGAAATCCGAGTAAGAGTTTACATGCGGTGAGAAATCTGACTGAGCTAAAATGCAGCTCTCTATCAGACTTCTTAATTGGATTTCTAGATTGAGATTGAGAGTATTATAGATTATAGAGTATGGTGTTTACATGACCATTTGAATAATCGGATATCTGCAGAAATGCGATTATGATCGGATTATTGAGTGCATGTGAACACACTCGTTGTCTTGATGGTTTTAATGACCCAAGAGTGGGAAAAAAATGCAAAAGGTTTAAATTAATGTGTCAGTAATGCATTAACACCACACATATTTAAAGCCACTCATTTTTAAACAACATTTTCTACTTTGCCTCTTTGACCCATCCTTAGTGCTTCAGGCTGAAGCCCAGCTGCAGCAGTCTGTATGTTGCTCTGATAGAAGCCGCAATTGTAGCCTCAAATACAGCTTTTAAATGGCTTTTAAAACAACACCTTTCAGCACCATCAGCAGACTGCACTGGACAGAGCTTGTGGGAGAGCTATGAATAAATCAACTAAGAGGAGCAACACAAAGTGGAGCTCCAGTTCCCCTCGAGAGCCTCTACCGTAACGAGAATCCACAAGCTATATGAACGAGAGAGAGAGGCTACAATCACAGAGGAGCTGAACCACTGACCAGATTTATGATATATATATATATATATATATATACTATATATATATATATCTATATATCTATATCTATATATATATATATATATATATATATATATTACACACACACACACATACACATACTCATAGGTTGGAACCGTTGCTCTCACTGGACAGCACTGATGGAAAAATGGAAATAGATCAGTGGCAAGAATAGCAGCCACAATTAGTTGACACAACAGGGGTTTTGAATGTATGTATTACATTCTACACAAATGCTGCTTATATCAGTAGAGTCTGGCTGCAGACATGCACTCTCAGACAGATGCGCTCTCAGCCACAGTGACGTCACGTCTACAATGGCAGAAGCAGCCAAAAGTTAACCGTTAATCATCACTCAGTCCATTTTTCATCCACAACACAGCTAGAATTCCATTTAATGTACCTCCCTGTTGAATAAAGTCATAGAACCCATTAAAAGTGTCTGTTGGTTCCTGGTGGTTTTCAGTAGTACTAATAGTATTCTGTGTTTTCCTGATGGGTTGATATCACAGTGTAAAGGATTCAGATCATATAATCAGGTGTTTTGGGACAGATTCCAGATACATTTGATCGTTTCTTAATGGTCTCTAACGGCAACCATCAAGACAATCCCCGTTAGGAAGCAAAACCATCAGGTTTTATTTCTAACAGTTCTAATCATCGTCAGCATGGCTTTCGTGAGTTTCAGCAGTAGCCGGTTTGTTTTTTTCCTGCAAATACACCCGTCATTCATATCTTATCGTCATGGTAGGATTTATTTTGAAAGTTTCCATATTTAATTACCTTATTATCAGTATGACAACGTTAATATACATTCAGTGTAGCTGTTGTTGCCCAACAGAACGTGGTTCACTGTTTTTCCTCATAAAACCGAAAAAACACTGTGGTGGCAGAGCGGCACTGACGTCATCAATAGGCTGGCGGTGCATGTCAGGCTGAGAGTGCATGTCTGCAGCCAGACCATCTCACTTATATAATGAAAAACACACTTCTTTTAAATAAAAAAAACACTTGTTTTGGGTGGAATGTGAACAAATAAGATAAATACAATTAATTATTTTAATTTTTTGACAGCCCAAACAAACTTACAACACGTTCTGATTATTGTTGATAATTGCGACTTCTAAGAATTTTATCTTGGCTCTATATTTTTTGAAAACTATTGTTAATTTGACCACCTTTTACAATCAGATTTCATCATTGAATATGAGGAGAGTCAGTGGCAACCCGGCAGTTGGAAGGAACTGATGCGAGTGCCGGGGAACCACCACTCAGCTTTGCTGAAGCTCCACGGCCACGTGGACTACAGCTTCCGCGTCTCGGCCGTCAACGAGGTGGGGAAAGGACGTCCCAGCCAAGTCAGCGAGAGATACAGAACCCCGGCCTCAGGTTTGGACTCCAGCTCCTCCCACTTTATCCTTTAATCTCTCCTTTTAGAGCAGTGAGGCCCAACACATTGCTCATTGAACTTTCAAAACATTCAAACCTGGGAGATAATTGATTTCCTCCACTCGTTGAACCTGTGCTCTCTAATGTGTATATTTCACAGGCCATTTTCTCTCTGTCGTTCTCTCTCTCTCTCTCCTTACCCTGTGCTAACAATTTCACTGCCAACAAAATCCATATTTCTGCTCTTTCCAAAGCGCCTGACAAGAACCCTGAAAATATCAGGATCGAAGGTCATTTGCCACATGAAATGGATATCAACTGGGAGGTAGGAGCCCGCGAGTTCTGTTCTGAAAGTCTTTCGGGAGTAGCTAACTTTCAAAGTACTGTAGCGGGGGACTGTATAGATAAAAAGCCCCTTTCAAATATAGAATTCCATTTACTTCTCAAAGGGAGAGAGCAAACAAACGTTATCAATTTTTCAGCTCCAATTATCGATAAGAGTTTCCCTCCAGAAAAAAAGAGGTTTACATATAAAAATGGTGTTATCTGCACCATTGTACAGCTGGAAACTTCACAAAGCCCTTTGTGAAAGTGATCCAGGATCCCCGTCCCAGACAGCTGCTGCGAGCCTTTGATTAAAAAGTAAAAGGAGCGAGCGGGATGCGAGTTATAAATTCCAATTTTTTATTTGAAAAGATGATTCTCTCCCATTCTCTGGGTTATTACCTGGCTCTCTCGCTATGGTAATAGAACCGTGCTTCCTGGAATTATGAGGTCTCTTATTATTAATAGTGTGCTTTTATAGATAATTGTATCTCATTCAATCTTCTGCTGCTGGCCCATTGTTAGAGGAGCCGGCGCTTTCCTCCACATTTTGTCAAGTTCTTGTTAGCTGTTGTACCTCAGAATGGCTAAAAGCCAACAGTGAAGTCATTTCAGGTCCGGAATGATTTAAAAGCTTGATTGGGGGCCGGGGTTGTTAGCCTATAGCAGTGAATGTGTTTCACTGTTTGAACACATCATTACCGCTACTGCCACGTTCTCTAAGAGGTATCAATTAAATCACGGCTCTGCCGAGGGGTCAGCCGGTGCCAAACCCTGAGTGCTCTGGCAGGGGAACACACGCACTTAGCGACCTTCCTGACAGTGATTTGCGCTCGGTTTAGCTTTCAGCCTCCTCCCTCTCTGCTTATTCCGTTCTGTCATATGTATCCAGCAAGATTCCCCTGGACGCTCCCCTAGATAAACACATGACTTCATGGGTTTCTGACCTATCGATTGTTGCTGCTCGTGTAAGAACATCTGCTAAGTTAGGTTTACAGGGGAGCAAGCAGGCAAATGATTAGCATGGGCATCATATTTGTACTGTAATAATAAAAAAATAAACAACAACAACAACAACAACAACAACAACAACAACAACAACAACAACAACAACAACAACCCTATTCATGGGTCATTCTACCAGTGTGGTGGCAAATAGTGTCCCACAACTTTGAAGCCTTGGAAATGAGCTGAAGATGAGAATAAAACAATAGGATGTTGATATTTTTGTATTCTTTTTTCTTCTCCTAAATAAAAATCGACAAAAAACTGTGATAATTCTTCCTTCTGTATTTATTTTAAGTGATTTTAATTAATGCTGTGCATGAAAAACAGCATGTCACTGCAGTGATTTCACATATCCTAATGTATTATTTTTGCTTGAAACAACAATTTTGTTACTTGTTTCAGTTCTTTAGCTTAGTTTGGTAATAAATCACGTCCCAACACTGTCAGTGGTGTTATAGAAACATAACGTAAATAAAAAATACATACATACATAAAGAAAAGAAAGAAAGGTCTTTTTGAATTGGTTATATGACCATCTTGAAGAAAGAAGTCCTGTACTTGTAAAATCTATTTTCATATTTCTGATAAATTTGGCCCCCTGGGATGGACTGATGACTTGTCCAAGGTGTATCCTGCCTTCTGCTCAGTGACCGCTGGGATAGGCTCCAGCTCCCACCGCGACCCAGAAGGATAAGCAGTTTAGAAAGTGTGTGTGTGTGTGTGTGTGTGTGTGATAAATGTGGCTAAAATACTGACAGCTTCATGTGTCACTTGAAGATTGTGTCAGCAGTGTTACCCATGAAACATTAAGTGATTTTAATATTGAAATAAAATATTATATTATATAATATTTGTTCTCTTATCTTTTGGGAGTTTGAAACTAAAGAGTCAGTGGACTATTTCAGGAAAGCTCAGGATTTTAGTAGTGTTGTCAGGGGTGGTACAACTTTACTGATGTAGTTCAATACAACAGACTTCATTTTTCAAATTGAAATATATATCAACATTCATACCTTGTTTGCTACCACAATAGTAGAATGACCCACAAAAAAAACTTTTCATGCACACAAAAGAATATTTGTTTAAATGGAAATGGGAAAAATCAAGAAACTAAACAGCAAACGATGATATTGATGAAAATGCATGTAAAACAATTAATAAAATAAGTATATTGCTCGTATCTCCGTTTTTAGTTTTTCTGTTTTTCACAAAATTTGAAAATGCCTGTTGCCCTTGATATTGTGTGTAAATTCCATAATAAATAGACCAAAAGAAATGGCCTGAAATGACTTGGGAAAACATCTGGTTCCATTGACTTACATTAAAAGTAAAGCATGTTTTTCCTTCTCCTGTAAAGTTATTTTGGAAATACAAGGTTTTGTTCTGACAGCAGGTAGAAGATGGTAAGAAAACTCATTACACTTGTAACAGAACAAGTAATACACCAACGTTTATTCTCTGTTATATTCCAGCCGTTGCCCCCTATTGAGCACAACGGGCCCGGTTTGGAGTACAAAGTGAGCTACAGGCAGCAGGGTGTTGAGGAGGCCTGGCAGGAGCACATGGTGAAGAGACACTCATTTGTAGTGAAGAACACACCAACGTTCGTACCTTACGAGGTCAAGATCCAGGCCAAGAACCACGCTGGCTGGGCTCCGGAGCCTAGAACAGTAGTTGCCTACTCAGGAGAAGACTGTAAGTACATGTGCTGATTCAGTTCTGTATGCTTAATACATGCTGTGAGTTAGAAAAGACCTTTATTGCCATAGTTCCCAATCCTGGTCCTTGAGCACCATTAACCTGCACGTTTTAGTGTTTTCCAGATCTAAACACACAGTTCAACTCAGGAAGGGCTTATTAACCCTCACACAAAAGCAAAAGCAAAGTGAAACCCGATATGAATTATTTCTCACCCATAGTTCATTAAAACAAGCTGAGAATTCTGTCAGATGTGTTATGATAATTTAATTTAATGAAGAATTAAAGGGGAATTCCAGCAATGTCAAACTTTTGATGCAAATGAAGTCATTCAGAGTGGTTTGATGTGAAATGGTTTGTTGTAGAGAAACTTACTGACTCAGATTTCTTCACAGTGGTGGCGATAGGAACCAGGGGTCTACAGGGGTCATGTCTACAACACAAGTCTAACCATTTTATTTACTATTCAAAACCATCAGTGAAACTGCACAACGTGTGAGTTTTTATACATAATGTTGATGGCAAAATAATGATAAATCTGAAAAAATAAGTTCAGTGCCTTACATGTAACTTGTAAAAAGAAATTCTGCAATACTATAGTAAAAGTGTCTCAGGCATCAATCAGCGTATTCATCTCCAGTTCATGTAATAGCTTTCCGTGAGGGAGCTTTTAAAAAGGTGGACATGTGGTTCCTATCACCACCACTGTGAACAATTCTGACTAAGTTTCTCTAGAATTTCACACAAAACCACTCTGAATGACTTTACATCTCAACCATTTAGTTATGGAGAAATTTTAAGGGGAAAAAACAAAAACAAAAAAAACAAAAAAAAAAACTATTTTTTAGCCATTTTTAACAAAAAATTAAAAAAAAGAAAAAGCTGTCAACACAGATTGTACATGAAATATAAACACATTTCATTGCATATTGTTTTTATAGCCAGTAAATACCAATATTTGACCGGTAAAATTCTGCAAGACTGGCAGATTCACATACCCAAAATCTATTTAATATTTTAAGCAAATAAAATCTTGTTTTGATGCATTTAGTTCAAAACTGCTTTCAGGAGCGCTGGAGGAGAAAGAGGAGAAAGAGTTTAAGTTAAAAAAGATAAAGCATGAGAGCTGAGAAACTGTGGATACATTCACGTTTAAACTGGCAGCAGAAAATAAAATGCTGTTAGCAGCCGTGCTAAATGTTTTCTTCGGCATTGATTTATTGAGGGCTGTTGAAGAATATGCAGTAAGTAACATCCTGTGATAACTAACACGGTATTGGTTCTGGTTGTGGTAGCAAATATATGTAATTTTACCCATTTGACTGGCAGACTGCATCATTCCTGGACTGGCACCACCAACACCTAGCAGTATTTCTGCTTACTACATGATTACATACACAATTACACTTTAATAAGAAGTCAAAATATAAGGAATAACTCCCGACGTCTAAGGTTTAACTGGCTTATTGGTGTTATCAAGTGTAGTAGAGCAGGGAAAACACCAAAATGTGCAGGACAGGGACCAGCATTTGGAACCAGTCATGTTTTTGTCCACTGCTTGTTGAACTGCTTTGTATGTTCACCAAATGGGAAAGGTATTGTGAGAGATATTCCAACACTCCACTTTCTCATTTCGTGTTCCACTGCAAATAGGCGATGCTCAGTAAACAGAAGCCCCTACTCCTCCGAAAGTACATTACAAGTGTGAGAAGAATATCAACAAGCCTAGAGGGCAGTCACCCACTGATAAAATACTGTCTGCGCTTTACGCAATTATCCGCATGCTAGGCCTGATATGGTGATCCGTTTCGCCTTATTGAGGATATTAAATAGTACACAGGGGGACGATTTCTCATGCAAAGGCTTTGTAACCCCTCCACAGACTGACAAATGAAATGCTAGCGTGGCTGTGAGCTATTTACATTTTCAGCTCTAATTATTCTTCTTGCCTTCAGTTTTCTTTTGGAGTTGCCCTCCTGATGGTATCTCAGGTCACTTGTTCTCTGTGTAGTAGGATTAGTCTACACGCTCGCTCTCTCCTTTTTTCTCGCTCTGTTTCCGTCCCTATCGCCATCATTCTTTCCCTCTGTGTTTGCTTAGTCTGACTGTAGACGTTGCTGGTGTTGTTGTTGCACTGAATCTGACCCCTCCCCCTTGATAGCAGTGCTAGGCTCTTTTTAAGGTAGTGAATGGACTTAGACTTTGTATAGTAAGTAGCTTTTTACATAGAGAAATCCATTTGCAGTATTTAGAAAATGGAATGTGTTTCTGGCTGGTAAAAAAAAACAAGAAAAAGAAGAAATGATGTTCCGTGACTCCCCATAAACATTTATTACCAGCAGCACCACATATACCACAATTACACCACACATCTAGGCCTGCCTGTGCAGTGGAGCTTTTGCAGTCATTATCCTGACTCGCAAGCTGCTAATGTAGCTCCAGCAAGCGTATATGGGAGCTTTTATTGTTATTTGGTGTTTGTGTGTGTGTCTATGTGTGCATGCGCAGTTCCATCAGCAGCACCAGATGACGTGGAGGTGGAGGTGATGAACAACACCGTGGTGAAGGTCAGCTGGAGCCGCGTTCACAAGGACAAACTGCATGGACATCTCGGAGGCTACAGGGTAATCCTTCACCCTCACCCTCCTGCTTTTTAGCCCTCGATTAAAGGCCTGCTGCCCTGTACACAACCCAGGTTGCGGTCATTCTCCCATCCATGGCCTCAGGCCCCTCAACACCTCCACCCTCACTCGGTTACGGCCTCGGGCTCCAGTCTGGTGTTTTTTTTTTTGTTTTTTTTTCACACTTTTTCCAACCAGCTCTGTTCATGCTGCTGTAGCTGTTTGTTTTCTGGCCAGGGACAGTCTAATTTAATAATGAAATAGAAGCAGTGGTCAGCTGGAAACAAGAAGCTGAAGGTATTTTGTTAGGTTGGTAATACTAGACTGCGAGTTATGTAAGAATGTGCTTGAATGCCAAAGTCCTCCTCAGAATGAAGCATCCAGTGCTGCCCACTAGTAGGAACACACTGGACACAATGTACAAGGTATGGAGTACTGTGTGAAAATCAGAGACCACTGTTTATTTTATTTCCAGGTCAAAACAGAAATTCAGTACAAGTTATTCATTTTTCAGCAAACTTTCAGAGATAAAACATATTTAACAGAAAAGACACAGAGATGATCATATCCTATTTTTCAGTATTTAGTGTGTCACTCTTTACCTTTATTCCAGCTTCCATTCTTTTCAGGAGACTCACTTTCAGTTCCTCAAAGAATCCGCAGCTGGTTGATCATTTTCTGAAGTAATCAAACACATTCAGTGGTGTTGAGGTCTGGACTCTGGGGTGGTCAGTCCATTGTTCAGCTTCTTTGTTTGATGTGTCCGTCTCCTTTTCTCAGTGAGGTTCTTCTTGAACAGCTACACATCCTTTCAGACCCACAGCGCTAAATCCTCTTCTCACAGTGGAAGGATGGACAGAAACACCTGTGGATGTTTTCAGATCTGAAGCAGCTTGATTTTCTCCTCTCTCTCAGAGATGAAAGCTTTAAGTGCTGTTTATCTGATGGGGGCAGTTTTGGTGTCGACCAGCTCCTCCAGGTGGTTGTTAGGAGTCCTATTTTCTCTGTAGCTTCTAATCATTTTTTGAACTCTAGTTTTTGGAAACTCCTGCCCTGACCCCCCACTTATTTTTCTTCGACGTTCCCCATCCTTAAGCAGGTGGATTATCTTATATCTAATCTCCTCAGAAATATCTCCAGACAAAACAATGTTTATTTAATAGGTTACACTTAATGGTTTTGACTGTAAACTAAATAAATGGGTGGTCTCTGAATTTTGCACAGTACTGTATCTTACTAGTTATCTTCCGTCATCACTACACGGCTGTCTGACATCTGTTTATCTCTCTCTTATTCATAATGCAGTTCAAACAGACCGTTTACAAACTGCAACATGATATTCATTATTTATTACTTTAAAATTTTAAATAGGTGGTACAACGTAAACATATGTTAATGTTATATACCACTGGCATGTCTAGAGAGCATCAACCTGTTTAAGACGTAACAATAGCAAGTAAACAAGCAAACTGCGTAATTTTTTATTAATTGAAAGTATTTTTATATAAGGGAACTTTATTTTTCTCATAAAATCCTAGTTACATCACCGCCCACAACCGTAGTAAATAACAAATAGCTGACTAACTGTTCTGAATAACCTGTTGACTAGTAAAAATGAACGGCTGTATAACCTCTTTGTCCTGCTGTTGCAGGTGAACTGGTGGCGGCTGCGCAGTCTGCTGGACTCAAAAAAGACACACGGTGATAAACACACGCTGATGTTTCCCGGTGACAGAAACCACGCGCTGGTTCCAGGGCTCCGGCCCTTCTCTGAATACAGCCTCATTGTCATGGCCTTCAACGGACGAGGCAATGGACCAGGGAGCCATCCAGTCACTTTCAAAACTCCAGAGGGAGGTAGGAGACGATAAAATGGCATAATAGATTGTTCATGACCTCAAGAAACAGGTTCAATTTAACATATAGGGAACATAACAGACCCATATAAATAGCCATTTCATCATTATCTAATAGTTTGTTAATGTTAGTTTATAAGTATATACTGTTTATATACGCATTAATTAAATGGTATTGTTTGAATTATTAACCTTCCACTCAGTGACATGGGTAATCTGTAGTTATTTTAAAGTCTATGTATCTAATCTAATTCTAGTTTGTGAATAATTTGAGACTCAACTATATAACTTGACATATTAAGCATTTAAATTTTCTAAAAAAGAATCGTCTGTCCTCTTTTAAAAGACTTAGTAGTTATTTATCGTCTTACCACTTTGTGATGCATACAGTTTTCCTTAAAGGGCCTGTATTATGGAAAAACTGTTTCAATACGTACCATTGAGTCCCCACATTACATATATGGACAACTAAGCTACAAAAATTAGTCTGTTTTAATTTTGCGATGTCACAAAAATTGTGTATTTGCATATATTCACCTGTTACACCTGGCAGTTTAGCTCTGCCCACTCTCTCCGAAGTTTTTCAGCCCAGACTGCTTTTTTGTGATGCACAGTCCAGCACAGCCATTTAGAACAGAGGTCTTTTACATATTAGTCTTAAAGGCACAGTGACAAAAAAAATTGTGTTTAATTCTAAGGGATAAAGAGAGGTTGGAAAATGGTCATGAGGAAAGAATTGTGACTCTTTTTGGTACATAAAGCCACACAAATGTCACAAGTGGAGCTTGGGAAAAAATGAAAATGCGAGGAAAAGGAATATGGGCCGTTTAATGTTTAGTGAATCATTAATAAGTGGGTAATATGTACTAAAAGCAATAATAATCATTGCTTTAATTATTTATATGCCACTTGGTTAGTTGTTAATTTAAATGCTAGCATGTAAAAGTTATGATTATCTTCTTTGGCAAATAATTAGCTCTTCATATGGCCCTTTTATTAAAACGTCACCACAATTTTTCATATAAATCTGTCTTTTCTCTCTTCTGCAGTTCCAGACCAGGTTGCTCTTTTCAGGGCTACAGATATACAGAAGCATGCAGTCACACTTACCTGGTCTCCTCCGGTGGAGGCCAACGGATTTCTCACCAGCTATATCCTACAGTACCAGCTGAGTAAGTCAATACTGCTGGTGCTTCTCTAAGCCTCCAGCTGCCTCATTCTCTTGCTGAACCCAGTAATTCCTGCGTCTCACCACTAGGAGATATCATTGTGCCACCTACCTAAAGGATGGCGTCAGTGTCTGCTCTGCGGGGAGAGACGAGCCTGAACAAACACCAGACATGGTGCAGGTTATGGCAGCATTCGGTGTAATGTTAGTCATTATATGATGAGTGCAGGGATAATCGTAGAGCATGGAAGTAAAGGTTGAGAGAAACAGTAACATTCAGTAAAATGCGGTCAGCGAACGTTACTGTGTAGATAAGCATTGCGGTCTGTGGAACAATGCAGTACATGGTCTTTAAAGTGTAAGAATTTTACAGAAAAGGGAAAGATCAGAGAGCAAGCATGTATCACCTGTGGATTAGCATTAGAATCAGGTCATGCTCACTTGCGATGGCATTTGGAAGCTTTTAGAAGAGCGGTCGCTATCAAGTGAAAAAATAACAAAAAAAAGTCATCCATAGCCTTTTAAAGCTTCCTGCATACTTTGTTATTGGCAGATATACTAGAAAGCCTTTTAAAAGATTTTGTTTTTTTTGTTTTTTTTTTTAAACACTATGCAGATAATGGATGCATATAAATGGGCGTGTCCATCAGGCTCTTGTTTCTTACTATAAGAAAAGCCATGCATCATGCAGATTGACAGTTAATAATAGCAGATTTATTGGCCCTGATTCACCAAATTTACATTAAGAGCACGTTTGACCACCTTTAATGAATGAATCTTTCACAAAACTTACAACGTGGAAACAAGCAATGATGAATCGGCTTCAGTGCGTGAAATCAAGCGCCAGGCTTCCAGCACCTCATTTACATATTACTTACATGAAGCGCGCCCTTGTTCATACAGATGTTTCGGTATGGAGCCAATAAAACGACAGCATTCAGCGACTCGTGAGCCAGTGGCTGCGCTGGTGGGTGGAGTGTACTGCGCACCCTACTGACCAAACTTGAACTTTCATTAAACGTGGAAACAAGCAATGATGATTCAGCGTCAGTGTGTGAAATCAAGCGCCAGCGACTGAAACGGATGAAAATGTGAAATGAACAATATTGGTGTTATTTCAGTGTATGAGATACATATACATACACACATATGTATATATATGAAATTTTGTGGGCGGAGTCAGTAATATAAAAACACAGCACAGTTTAAAATGTGTTTAAATGGTACATGGAATAATTGCAGCAATTGTTTGTACCACTGTGTGTGTAAAAGAAGCACATCCACTTTTTTATTCCTATGATTGTCTATTTTATAGTTATTATTGATATTACAGATGATATTGATCATAGTTTATGGTTATGTAACTACAAACCAAGCATTTGTTCAGGTTGGCAAACCTCAAATGTCTTTTTAGAACAGGATAAAAAGACTTTTTTGAGCAGTTGTAACAGCCTTGAAAAGAATATTTGACCCAAACCAGTGAATGTTGCTAATAACGAATGGAGTCTACTGGGAGCCACTTAGCATTATTAAAATTACACTGCGCTAACGGGTCCCTTGTACCTCTCATTCATTGTTATCCATGTTAGCATTTTTGGGTCAAGTAAATCTTTCTCTCACCTCGCGACCCTTTCTTACCATGGATCACTGGCTAAGGCACGCATATCACTCAGCACAACCGCTGGCCTTCAAGTCTGAATAACGATGAAGCAGGTTATAATATGCGCTGCCTGGGAGGGTTCGTTAGCTAATTGTGTTTGATGATGCAGCTGATCGCTATGGCCAAGTGCCATGCTACATATTAAAAGGAGGGACATTTCTATCAGGGGAGTGCGCAAGAGCCACCGCACACCCTTTGAAGTGGGCTTTTTGAAGTCCCCTTGAAGGAAGTGCTGTATGAAATGTTGGGGATAATGTACCCAGCTGTCCATGTGGCGCACACAGCAGCAGCAGCGCCTGGAATTTAAAACACTAGCGCACAGATGTCCCGCGGCTAAGCATGGCTGCACCGAGCTTTTACGCACTCAATATTTCACGCTCCTTGCGTGTCTTGGTGAGAATATTCAGAGCGGGTGTTTTAACACGTTGTGAGAGGAGACGAGAAACTTGCAACTCATTGTGTCAATGAATGAACTGAATCTGAACCGGGGCAGGGCGGCAGAACGGCTAAACGCTCTGACAGTTTGAGGCTGTGTTTTGGCTTGTTTTACTGCTGAATTTAGATTCAGTGTTTTGCTAAAATGTGGTGTCTTTCGTCATTCGGTACCTAAGTGGTGTACACAAACAAATCCACTGAAAAAACACTGTTCAGTATAATAGGTAAAGGGGCATTCCAGCCTAAAATGAGATATAAACTGGTGTGGCCTTCAGGCTCTTGTTTCTTACAATAAGCATTCGTGCAAATTGCCCATTAATCACATCAGATTCATATGCACTGATTCATCAAAGTTGCATTAAAAAAAAATAACGCAGGTTTGACCACCTTTAATGAATGAACCTTTCATACAATGTGGAAACAAGCAATGATGAATCAGCCTCAGTGTGTGAAATCGAGTGCTGGCCGTCCAGCACCTCATTTACATATTATTTACATGATGCATGCCCTTATTCATACAGATGTTTCGGCATAGTTTGAGGCTGCGTTTTGGCTTGTTTTACTGCTGAATTCAGATTGTGTTTTGCTAAAATGTGGTGTCTTCCATCATTCAGTACCCGAGTGGTGTACACAAACAAATCCATCTGTACACTGTTCAGTATATTAGGTAAAGGGGCATTCCAGCCTAAAACATGTTAACATGTTATTTATTGTGTTATGCAGTATTCTGTAGCCCAGCATTGTATCCCGGCCTCATTGTTTTGACAGAATTGATGATTTTATATCGTTTTCATGTTTTCTTTCACTCTCTCACTGCAATAACCAGCAACTTTATACATCAGTTAGTTCTGATCACAGTCTGATAGTTCTAGCTATTCAGTGCGTGAAATCAAGTGCTGGCCGTCCAGCACCTCATTTACATATTATTTACATGACGCATGCCCTTATTCATACAGATGTTTCGGTATAGTTTGATGCTGTGTTTGGCATGTTTTACTGCTGAATTCAGATTGTGTTTTGGTAAAATGTGGCATGTTTCATCATTCGGTACCTGAGTGATGTACACAAACAAATCCATCTGTACACTGTTCAGTATATTAGGTGAAGGGGCATTCCAACCTAAAATTAGAGTTTAACATATTATTTATCGTGTTATGCAGTATTCTGTAGCCAAGCATTGTGTCCCCTCGGCCTCATTGTTTTGACAGAATTGATGATTTTGCATCGTTTGTTTTTTTTTTTGTATTCTCTGTTACGGGATGGGAGGAAGGCGGACCCAAGTGCAGAGAGGAAACCCGTGAGAAAGGGTCTTAAATGAGTTTATTGAGGTGACGGAGTGTGAATTTGGCAATTGTGCACATTGGAATTGAGGTGGCTCAGAGCCAGGCTCAAAACGCCGATGTACTGCTTGGCAGTCCGAGGAGTTACCGCTGCGCCAAACAAAGGCTAAGACAGAAAAGTGACATAAAAGATAAGCAGAAAACAAAACACACTTCCTCTGCGATTATGAGAGGAAGGTCGACTTTATGTTTCACGTGTTTGCTACTTGTGGAGCAAACACTTTTGTATGGCTTGGAGCCGTTCCTTGTTCAAGCCTTCTTTTTGGCTTTTCACTAGTTTTAGGACAATTTCTCTCTTTTCTTTTCCCTTTCTTTTGGTTTAAATACCCACCTGGGTTAAGTACCATACCGGTCACCCCTCTACAAAGGTGTGACAAAGGGCTGCGGTTTGCCACGGCCTTAAGTAGAGGAGTCCACAGGTGTGCCAGGTTGAGCCTAATCAGCCCGAGGGCTTCTGGGAATTGAAGTTCCCTGAACTTGTGGCGCCTCACTGCCGTCGCACTCTGCTGGCGGCCAGCGGCGCAGGCTGGGCCCTTACATTCTCACTGCAATAACCAGCAACTTTATACATCAGTTAGTTCTGATAACACAATCTGATGCTGTTTCACAGCAACTGTTTCACGCTAAGTAACGACCGCTTTGCAGCTATTAGTGCTTTTTAGCACCTACAAAAACAGAAATTGACATTCGTCAGATATTCGGCTTTTTCTCCTTAATTTCTTTTCAATAAGCATCCAAGAATGATCAAACATACATGTGAGATTTGTAGTCTGCTTAAAAAAAGAAGCCTGTCTTTACTACAAATGATTTGATTTTGCCTTATCTAAGCGAAATACATGAAAAATAATGCACTGTTTAGACGGTCCCTTAATGACTAAAGCATCAGCCATATAAATGTATTTGATTGTATTTTGCTCTTTGTCTTTTATGAGTGTGAAAATGTAATTTTGATCATTTTTAGACTTTTTTAATGAGAATTCAAGAAGAGAAAGTCAAATATCCAGTGAACGTCCAATATAAAACCAACTTCACAGCGTTCTGCGTAATACAGAACGGTGCTCTCTTTTGTTGGTGGGAATTGCCAATATTAAAGCACGTTTGATATAATATTCTGAGTTTCTTTGCTTTCTCAAGGTGATGTGTTATCACCTGTGACCAAATCAGAGCCATGATGTCATTCGTGATATGACATCAAGCACATTTCGTCTGCCCAAAACATTTTAATAAAGCCCACCCCTAAAATTCCACCGCAAAAGAGCTGGTGTTCTTCCCACCTTCAAGGTACAATCTTTAGACAGGGTGTCTCTAAAATGGTCTTTAAGTCTTTAAAGTGAAAACTCTCACTCTAGAGACTGTAGGATGTGAGTAGACATGTTTACAGCAGATGGATAGCAATGAATACATTTTTCATTTTGGCCAAGTGTCCTTTAATAGCATTCATTTGAAGAAAGATGAGTTTTCTGACTTTTGCCACTGGAATAATGTAGTCTATTTACATTTCTGGAAGTGAAATCTGAAAAATCTGAGTGCTGAACACTTTAGTGCTTTCGCTGCTCTAACACACCACATTCAGCTCAAGTATCCATCAAGCCTTTTAAGAGCTGAATCTGTGGTGTTGGAGCAAGGAAACCATTGGCTGTGCTTTGCAAGTGGCCCAGGACTGAAAGTGAAGAACACATCTTTAAACTAAATCCCTGGTTCCAAAACCTGGTCATAAAGTCCCCATTCACTGGCACTGGTGTTTTCCCTGCTCTTAAAGTGGAATTCCAGGTATTTTTTAAACTTTCTGAATAGTTCAATCTTGAGCTGTAAATAGAACAATTCAGAGTGGTTTGATGTGAAATGGTCCACTGTAGAGAAACTTACCAATTTGAATTTCTTCACAGTGGTGGTGATAGCCAGGGGCCAGTAACCAGGGGTCACAATTATAGCCATTTTATTTACTATCTAAAACCACCAGTGAGCCTGGCGTGTCTTATGAGTTTTTATATGTAATTTTAATGATGGTAAAATAGTAAAAAGTTGCAAGTTTTCTTTGCACCCTTATATGTACCTCTCATCCACGAATGGCATAAAAATGTGTTTTAGGCCAAAACCTTCTAAAACTAATGTTAAACAATGTCTCAGGCATCAGACAGCGAATTTGTAACCATTTCATGGACAGTGGGGTAAAATGAGCCATGTTTTTTTACTTAAGTCGACTTATAGCCGAGGCAATATGAGACAGGATTAAAACTAAAACATACACAGCAAGTTCAGGATGTGTGACATCAACTGAAACCTTAGCAGAGTGCCTAACTCAAATAGGCAACAAAATACGGGGTCCTAAAAAAGTGCCCATGTCTCAAATTGCACCATGTTAGGTTCAACAACCAAACCACTCTGAATGACTTTGTTTACATATTAACTGTTTATTTGTACAGGAATTTTGGTGGAACCCCCCTTAAGGTCTTTATGTACTGAATGTGAATTCGTCTGTCATCAGTAAATTTGTAGGAGTACATGTGTAGCTGATCATACTCCAAATCACCAATCGCTGTTGCCTCTGACGTTGTCGTAGCCACAGCCATTATAACCAGCCACCTGTAGCTTTTGACAAACATCAAAAGGATTAGTTTCCTCATGTGCAGCACTAGCATCTCCAAAAGCAACTCAAAGTAGGTTACGGACATCCGAGAGTATGTGTGAAAGCTCATTATAAAGTTTCAGCTCCTAAATGTGGGGTGAAACTCTCAGTGCTCCTTTCACTTTTCCAAAATAGGAAGCCAAGCCGGTGTCAACTTTTGCACTTTTTTGTGGGGAACAAAGGATATGTCAAGATGTTTTTCTTTCTTTGTTGTTTTTAAGCTGTGTTTGGTCTATAAAGGCCTTAAAGTGGTTCTCAACTCCTGGAGACTGATTGTGCTGCACAGTTTCATCTGTTTCCTTTGCCAGCTGATCCAACTTACACAGGGCTTAATAAATGGATGGCTAGCTTGATCAGAGCAGGGAAAACACTGCAAGGCAGGACTTCACCAGGACCAAGGTCGGGAACCACTAGACCCAGTCCTTGGAACGTTACGGTTCCATACTTTGGCTCAATCCCAGAACCCGACACATTTATTTAGAGCAAAAATCTAGTGAGCTGGAGCACTAGACTAAATGCACTGCATATGCTATTGTGTCTGGTGAACGTTTACTCCATATTTTTGTCTGGTTAACAACAAAGAGTTAATAGCAAAGAGGATTTGGTTACACTTTTTTTTACAGTTCTTTAAGTTCTAGACGCTAAATGGGTAAATGTAAGGTACAAACTCCAACGTACTAGGTAATTATTTTGGGTAGCATGATGATGCATTCCAAGATAGTCTAACTAAATTACACTGAAACAGGTTGTGTTTTTGAAAAAGGACATAGTAAAACATCTAATCTAACTGGGTACCTAAGGTAGGTGGATAAAAAGTAGGTGGGGAGTGCAAACAAACTCACACTTCACTGAAATGTCACATGTTTAAGCAGGAAAATAAATCAGGAGAACCTCTTAGTAAATGGTAAAGCAAAAACAATAGTAAGATGCGTTACTTTCTTTTACGATCCAGGTTCAGTTTAATGTCTAGTTAATAGACACACATGTACTACCTAAGACTCTTAAAGGGGAATTCCACTGATTTTTCAAAAGTTCGGCATAGTTCAGTCATTAAGATGTGAAGAAAGTCATTCAGAGTGGTTTGGTGTGAAATGGTTCATTGTAGACTCAGATTTCTTTACAGTGGTGGTGATAGGAACCAGGGGTCGCCATGACTACAACACAAATATAGCCATTTTATTTACTATCCAAAACCACCAGTGAACCAGTGTCTTCTGAGCTTTTGTACAGAAAGTTGATGGTGGTAAAATAGTGGTCACTTTAAAAAAGAATGATTTATTTTGGGGACCACTTTGCCGAGCAACTCCCTGCATGTTCCTCACCATCACAAATGGATTTTAAAAATACTTTTTCAGCCCAAAACCCTCTCAAAACTATCATAAAACAGTGTCTCAGGCATCAGGCTGTGTTTCTATGAGGGAGCCGTTAGAGGCGTTAAACTCTTCAGACATCTTGTTCCCATCACCACCGCTTTGAACGATCCTGATTTCTTTAGAATGGAGTATTTCACACCAAACCAGTCAGCATGACATATTTACATTGTTATGATTTTTAGAAAATTTGGTGGAAATCCCCTTTAAGTGTCTGTGAACTTGGAGAACTTACTGATTTATTTTCCTACTTAGACAAGCGATACAGTTAAAGTAAGTTAAGCTGTCTGGCTGCTTGCTATCAATTTACTCAAAACAGTTACAAAGCACTGTTGGTACCAGATTGTTCCACACACACACACACTCAGTTGATACCTAGAACCTGTTGTGAATTTCAGCGTAGCGTAATTAGAGTGTCTTGTAACTCACCATCATGATCCCTAAAATGATTACCTAGTATTTTGTAGTTAGCTAGTGAATACCTACACTGCAAAAATAGTATCTTGTCAAGTAAAATTATCTTAAATCTAGTCAATAAATCTAAATTTCTCCTTTTAAGATTTTTGTAAGCTTATTTTAAGATTATTTAACTTATTTCCAGACTTTTTTACTTGTTTTAAGTGATTTCATTAAGTAAAATGATCTCACTGTACTGGCAGATAATTGTGCTTGTTTTTAGAAATGTGCTTGAAACCAGCAAAATTATCTGCCATAATAGTGAGATACTTTTTCTTGATAAAATGATAAAAATGTTAAGAAATAAGATATAATCTTACAATAAGAGCACAACCATCTCAAAATAAGAAATATTAGATACACACACACACACACACACACACACACACACACATTTTCTAAGCCGCTTATCCTTCTGGGTCACAGGGGGTGTTGAAGCCTATCCCAGCGGTCATTGGGCGGAAGGCAGAAAACACCCTGGACAGGTTTTCCAGTCCATCACAGAGAAATATTAGATAGATAGACAAAAATTAAGATAATTTCACTTGACAAGATACTATTTTTTGCAGTGTAGAACTAGAGACTTTAAAAGAAAGTGCTACTAAGTCTTCTTGTCCAGTGAACATGACTGTATCTTCTCTCCTTCTTCTCGTCTAGTTAACAACACAGAGGAAGTGGGGCCTCTGCTATCTGTGAACATCCCCAGCGCCGACACCACTAAGTGGCTCCTGCAGGACCTGGAGCCGGTGAGCCGCTACAGGTTCTACCTGCGCGGCTGCACGCGAGTGGGCTGCGGTCCAGCGGCCAGCGAGGAGTGCACCACCATCCCTGAAGCACGTGAGTGAAAACGAGGGCAGTCTCTGGGCCAGAGTAGCCCTCATCACAGACATCCTCGGATCCTGGCTTGGAGGCCAGAGCTCCTTGGTGTTCTGACACGGATGGCCGAGTCGTGCGCTGTTCTGGGCATCGATCCCGGGGAAAGCGAGGGGACATTATTTCGACCTCCCATCCCACCAAGCTTTTCATATGCCCATCTAAGCAGTTCTTTATGGCCAAACAATATCATAGCACAGTGGGAGCGGCTCATTTGTCATTGTCGAGGAAGACCAAGTACTTATTGATTTGGGAGGAGGATGAAAGCTTTATAAAAGGAGAAAGAAAAAGAAATAATATGTCGCCTTTGGAAAGGGAAATGGTGGATGGCCGTTTCGAATGTGATAGCGATGGTAATCAACTGAATGTCCACGCAGTGCAGTATTTCATATACTTAACATGTTTTTATCTCCAATGGAAGAAAAGAGATGATTGATAAAGCGCAATTTATTATTTTTACTTGACTGTGGGATTCACAGCTACAGCAAAGATAGTATCAAAGTCAGAATCCCACGGCATTGTATTAATATACTGCACTGTAATGGAAAACAGGCAGGAAAATGAATGGCCTCTTTGATATGTAGGTTGATATGTTTCTTCTTTTCTGTTATCAACGCCAGACCATTAGTAGCACTGTGGGACTCAATATGATGAGGAGGATAGAAAAACGGGATCCTACGCACTGTAGCTTACAGTCATTCTTTAGCCCAAAATGCAGGGAGCCATCCAAATTTCCAAAGCTGAGCATTTCTCAGTGCTGGCTGCTAGCATGCTTTATCCTCACAATGCTCTGGTAATTCGCATTGCTTTCAGCAGAAAGTACATGCTCTCTCTGCTTTCAGTGTCTGCCATCGTTTGCAAGATGTCTCTTTCATGCTTTCTCTTTTTGTTTTGCCAGCTTCAACAGATGTGCCCACTTTCAACATCAGTATGAAGTTTTCTACTTTCCGTAGCTGTAGATTTAGCAGAAAAAGAGTAACAGTAAACATGAAACTTTGTGTGGTGTTGATGTGTTTGTTGCTCAGTGGTCTGCTGGACCCACCACATTACTGTTTTTTAAATCAATACAGCCACAACAATTTATGTAAAAATACCAGATGTTTAAAATATCACAAGTGTCCAGCGTAGGGTTCTCCTTTAGCAGCTGTAGCCAGTCAGCAGCCTGTCCATGCTGTCCACCTGCACACACACACACATATACAAACACATACACACACAGACACACACACACACTAACAGCAGGCCATGTAGGAGGAGAAGAGAGTGAAGGACACAGCACCTCCACACTTTTACTCCCCGCAGGTTCACCCAACACCACATGTGTAATATAAATGTGTGGGGGGTGAACAGAGTGAAGACACTGAAAATGGGTTATTTTATATGTTCTTCACAGAAAATGAAAAGGCCAAGAATCTGAGGCTGAAAATAATAATAAATCACGTAATTTTTTCTTTTGGTAAACACTGAAAATGGGTCCCACAGACCTGAACACCACACAAGGGTTAATGATACTTTAGGCTACTAACCTGGGCTGCTTTTCCACTGCACATCCAAGAACAAGAAACTACACAAACACAAACTAATGGAACTCACAGTTTTAGGTTTAGTTCATTTTCCACCTGCAACAATTTTATCATTTTTGGTCATTTTATACCACCGTTGTGGTAGGCTACATATCTAAAGTGGCTAATTAGCTACACCCGGTTGTAACGATAAGAAAAGATGCTGCACTGCTCTGTTTGTGCGATGATCAAAATGTCTATATTTAGAAAGAATTATGTGTAGAATCAAACAAAGCTGTTGAGTGTGAACATATATTCCATGGCTGCTAGCTTAGGTGTTAATTATATTGTCTAGCTCATTTCAGCTTAGTGAACTCTTTACAAGCTAATAATTCTGAAAATAGCAATCAACTCATTAACGTACCATCGTAGTTTACAATCTGGTGCACATGCTGGTGATGTAATAATCGTTGGTGACTTTATCCTCAACTGTGGCCGGTTGCACCAGCTCTTTGTAAGATCAGGTTTATTCATTACTGAATCAGAACGGGTTTTAGCATCGAGCTTAGTAGTTAGTAAATATTTACACCCCCCTCAGCAGGTGCATGTGTTGGGGAAGCCATCAGAAACCACAGCAAAGACCAGAAACATGACTTTTTTGGTTAACTAGGCCAAAAACTCTAAACGCTATACGCTGTGATTTTACTTACAGCTCTAATTATTGCTCTGTTTAGCATGAAGCTAAACACCCGCAGCTCCAGCTCAGTGAGACTCAGCTGCTGCCCAAACTGCTAAAGTAAGGCAGCTGTTGTGTCGGTTATCCAGAAAAGAAAAGCTCAGCACAGTTTGATGACTTCCTGGCTCAGTATCATGGAAAACTGAAGTTTCCTCAGTCAGTTTAATTCAGTATGTAAATATTATTAGTTTCAAAACATACTATTCCTTCCCCAGTCTCTCCAGTCCATATATAAAAGCTATACTGGCAAAATAGAACATTTTGCAGTCACTGTTTTTGTGATGCCACCAGATCCAACACACTTACATCCACTTTTTTAGCCTATAGCAGTTTATCTTGCTGAAGTTATAAGGAGTGTTTCAGCATAGAATGCTTTTAAGTAAGTAAGATTTATTTACATATATACATTTTAAATGCACAGTAACCAAACTAGCCAGTCTTGTAAAAATGAAATATGACAGTTTTTGGCACACACTTAAAAATGATGGTTCTTCAAGGGTTCTCTAATAAAGAAAATGGTTCTATATAGCACCAAAAGGGGTTCTTCTATTTTAACAAGCTTGACATCGTAACATTAGAAGAACACTTTTTGGTGCTATATGGAACCTTTTTCAAAAAAGCTGCATATTGGAAAATATTAAAGAATAAACAGACAATGGCCATAGATAATTATCTTTATTCAGTTTAACTTGTACACATCGTTCTCTTCTATGCTGGATAGTTTTTCCATTGAAAAAGTCAGAGCAGCTGCCGATGCGTTTCCATGGCAGCGGGTTTACTGATTCTGGTTCTGAACATGTTATCATCATGTTAAAGCGATGTACGCATTAGTTAGTTGTTACTAGTTAAGACACGACTTACGGGTTTGTGGTGCAACCAAATTTATAAAAGGATAGTTTGAAACTAACCAGTGTAAACATAGTAGGACACAGTAAGGACTTTACACACAAACTACAAAAAGTATAAACTTACGCAAACCTGGTGCAATTCAGTCCTGGATCAAAGAGTAAAGAATCTGCTAAGTTGGCATTAGCTTCTGATGCAGGTGTTGCCATTAGGTCCTGTTGGTACTAATCTTGCATGTGACCCAAAACCTACAAAACTGGACGAATGGTAAAAGCACAGTTCCAGTTTTCTGGAGTTTCTTGTACTTTGTGCAGAGGAAAAACGGCCTTAGAGATGCTGTTTCTCTCCTCCGTAATCAAGCGACGGTTTTCTGTTATGTAACCTTAGTGAGTAGTTAAGTAGATTTGTCTGTGTTCTGCTTGCTTTTCATGGTCATAGTAAAATCTAAGCACCGCCGGACAGTCACGGATACTGCTTTTGTCAGTTTTGAACAGATTCCAGGAAAAAAAAAAAACAACAGTGATTTAATATTCAGATGTGCCTACTTTCACAGGAGAGAGAATCCATTAAATTCAATTTGTCTCACTATTAACAAACCATCTGCTACAAAGTGTTCATCAACTAACACAACAGTGCTCGTGTAACGCTGCAGTAGACGTACAGTAGTGTTCCTGTGTTCCTGCAGTTAACCTGATGTAGAATCTAGATTTTATCTCAGTCCAGTAGTTTGCAGTAGAATAGCTTGCATAGGTTTAACACTTAAAAGTTAGTGGACACTTTGCTATATGAGTGCAGTGGAGAAACTCAAGATCTTATCTTTCTTTCCAGGACAGTCCAGAACTCGTCCTCCTCCAAGAAAGTCTACTGTCTCCCCCGTGGCTAATGCCACAGTTTCCTCCATAGGTATTAACATGCAAAATTGACCATATATAGCTTGAATCTGTTGGACTATGGGTGAATAATGAGTATGCATGACTTAGAAAGGCTTACTGTGTGCATACAGATGTACAGAGTAAGCCTTTCTATGTCATGTATACTCATAATTTATGCAGCCCAGCACAGTTTGATGACTTCCTGGCTCAGTATCATGGAAAACTGAAGTTTCCTCAGTCAGTTTAATGCAGTATGTAAATATTATTAGTTTCAAAACATACTATTCCTTCCCCAGTCTCTCCAGTCCATATATAAAAGCTATACTGGCAAAGTAGAACATTTTGCAGTCACTCTTTTTGTGATGCCACCAGATTCAACACACTTACATCCACTTTTTTAGCCTGTAGCGGTTTATCTTGCTGAAGTTATAAGGAGTGTTTCAGCATAGAATGCTTTTAAGTAAGTAAGATTTATTTACATATATACATCTTAAATGCACAGTAACCAAACTAGCCAGTCTTGTAAAAATGAAATATGACAGTTTTTGGCACACACTTAAAAATGATGGTTCTTCAAGGGTTCTCTAATAAAGAAAATGGTTCTATATAGCACCAAAAGGGGTTCTTCTATTTTAACAAGCTTGACATCGTAACATTAAAAGAACCCTTTTTGGTGCTATATAGAACCCTTTTCAAAAAAGCTGTATACAGAACCACCTACAGCACATTCTTCATCATTCTGAAGAACGCTTTCATGATGCAGAGAACCCTTTAATCATGCAAAACGTTCTTTAAGTGTTCGTAATTACCATTTTTTTTACTAAAGAACCCTTGAGTAACCGTCTTTTTTAAACGTGTACACAAAACCACACAAATGTTACAAGTGGACCCCAAGAGTAAAAATCAAAGTACAAGAAAATTGTAGGAGATGGACTCGGTTTAAAAGGTATATTTGATGTTTGAGCAGAGAAATCATTTCTGTTGGACACCAGGCATTGTGACTACCATACGAGTAGCCTGGTCTCTGCCTACTGTCAGAGAGTTGTGCATTTCATGCCTAAATATTGCCGGTTAGCAACTACCAACTTTGACAGGAAAGGGCTGTTTGGTTGATACGCAAAATAACCAACCAGAGTTGTTTTTGCGTGACATGTTGGAGAAAATGATGCTACAGTTGACACAACCCTGGGGGAAACAAATCAGTAAGCATCGGCAAACATGAGGATATCTCTCTAAAAAAGTTACTGAATGCTTTTTGAATAACTTTTAAAGATGTCATACCATATACAAACATTTTCAATCCATATCTATGTAAGGTTCGGTTGCGGTGGGCATAGCAGACAACAATTACAAAGTTAGTTTCCTGTCAGACAGATGAAACCCACTCCACCCCATAGTTGTGGCCATAATAGGATACAAAAGATATCAGACTTTCCGGTTGCATGTGGGTGGAGCGTCTGAGGCTGAGGCTGCCATATGGGTGACCTGGATGACTGCCCAGAGTTATTATCAATGGATAAGTGGTGCGATAGGGAGAGTATTTGCAGAGTTTGTACAGACAGGGCACTGTGACTCTAATACCCAGGTGCAACCAAAAGATTATAAAGGAGAAATATTTCAAAATTTAGATTAGGAATTTAGATTCAGTGAGGCTTAATGTGAAATGCTCCATTCTAATGATGCCTGAGACATTATTTATTGCAGTTTTTGAGCATGTATTTTCAAAAGCTATTAGTGGCAGAGATGTATTCCCCAAAGGAAATATATTTTTCCAGACTATTTTACCATTTTACATATACAAACCCAGAAGACTCGTGTAGGTTCACTGGTGGTTTTGGATAATAAATAAAATGGCTATATTTGTGTTGTAGACATGGTGACCCCTGGTTCCTATCACCACCACTGTAAAGAAATGCAGTACGTTTCTTTACAATGAACCATTTCACGTCAAACCACTCTGAATTTGTTTACATCTCAGCGATTGAAATTCTGCAGAAATTTAGATTTTTTTTCTTTTAATCTGGTTCTGACCCCAGTCAAAACTGATGCCAGCTGCAATGAAGAGTAACAGAGAGATACTCAATGATAAGAAGACCTTCTGCTGTACCGAAGGCAAAACCCTCAAAGGCACATCGTGTTTCATCTCCACTGTCCGAGAATGATCAAGTGTGAAGCATTGATTTACTGTGCTTTGTTGTGCTTTTACCAGCACAATTGCAAACAAACCACCAGTGTCTGATCAGGTAGCACTGCGGCTATTTCCTAATGTTCAGCATTGGAGGAGGAAGCTAGACAGACAGAAAGACAGACAGAGGTGGGGGGCTGCATCGAGAGTCAGCTGCCACTACTTAAGTGGATAAGTGGAAGCTGTTGAAAGCTGTGGATCAGACGGTTTTTCGTCGTCTTGCCTTCCTCCCGGCTTTTTTTCCTGGGTTTTCTAGGCCCTGCAGGACGCTGCGTGGCGTGGGGCCCTCTCCTCTCCCGCTGAGCTGGCAGATGCTTCCTGTTGCATTTAATCCCGCTCTACGCAGGCGAAGTGACAAAGCCCCAGCCAGGCAGCGCTCGATATTTATAGCCCCCCTCTCCTCTCCTCCACCCCATTTTTCCCCTTTCTTGTGACAGGAAAGCGTCACAGCGAGCTGCCGATTTTACGCAATTGCTGCTGTGACAGGGAGAAAAGAAACACGTCCTCAATTAGAGGGTGACATTTCCGAGCCTCTGGATTGGGCCGGGCAGGCGTGAGCGGCCTCAGCTACAGACACGCCTCACCTAAGGAAAGGGTGCGATGGATGTCATTAGCACATCTGGCCCTGGGGAAGAGACGCTCCATGATTGAGATGTACATTAAGGCAAGCTGACAGTTCTAGACACTTTGCCTAATTGGAACACATGAAAGGGGTGAAAACAATTAGCTGGTGTTCTTCTATAGACTGACACCTATGTGTTATAGTGCTGTGATTTTCAAACTTTTTATCAAGCAGCCCTTTTTTTGTGTGCTTAAAGACCAAGCCCTCACCCATCATTTGTTTACTTATTTACACTTTTCGCTTACTCAATGAGATGGGAGGTAAAACTAATGATTTTTCAATGATTGTCATTATAAGCCCTTTTAGCTGACTCAGCTTGTTATTGATAGCTTGTGAAGTATTTTGGGTGCTTTCATTGTGAGCATCCATGCTTGCACCCTCACATCTTGGCTATTTATACTGTCCTGAGTTATACGGACAGCAATTCTAATGAGTGAATTCAGATGCTTTAAGGTTTGCTGACACAGGCATTTAAGAGAATGTAATATAATCTCTATAGAAAAGCACTGACAAACACAATGGGATGCTCTGGAGCAATTGCACGTGAGCCTAAGGTCACCTTGTCCTATAAGTGTTGAATAGAGTGCAAAAAGCCCCCAGCGTTTGGCTGTGGAGCAGTAGAACTGCGTTCTCTGGAGTGATTGAGCTCCATCCAATGCGTTTGAGAAGAATTGGAGTGATCCACAGCTGATCATCCAACATCAGTACCTGACCTCACTAATGCTCTTTTGGCTGAATGCAATGAAATCCTCACAGCAATGTTGCAACATCTAGTGCAAAGCCTTCCCAGAAGAGTAGAGGCTGTCACTGCAGCAAAACATTTCAAAAGAAACACTGATTGAGCAGTGTCTACAAACTTTTGGCCATATAGCGTAATTGGCCTGCTCATTAGGTTTGAAGACCAGACAATAAAATAAACTATAATACTATAATAAACTATAATCAGTCCAGGGTTTTTTCCCTTTCAGATTTTCAGATTGTATCTCTTGGTATAATATGCGTATGCCTTATATCAGAGGGTATTTAATTAAAATTCAGTAAAGTCCAGTTTCGAGAAAATTTCCTCATGCAAAGGTCCAGAACATCATAATGTCTAATGTGCATCATGATTCAATGCCATATACTGCTTACTGAAGTAGCCTAGTAGGTTTATCAACATCTTATACAGTCAACAACTAAATGTCAAATCAAATAAAGTACAGTTCAGTAATATTTCAACATATTTTCTCTTTTTAGATCACACCATGTGAAATAACCCTCTGACTCACTTTCTTCTCTGACTGCTGTTTCTCGCCTCGTCCCTCCCTTGTGTGGCGTCACTCGAGTCTCAGTGCTCATCGTAATGCACAGATCTGATTGGCTGAGTAGCGTCACGTGTGATATTTACAACGCATGCGATTGGTCTGTGAGTCTCCCAGGCCGCTAAAGCACCACAAAGGCTAGGAAAGTTATGCCAATTAAAATAGGACCACCCCATTGAAATTAAAGAATTCTCCACAGTTTATCAGTTACAGTTCCAGGTCCGCATAGGACAGCGTCTGGGTCTGGACTTGGACCGCGGTCCGCCTTTTAGTGACCTCTGCCTTATACTGTTGCAGTATTCAGGCTCAGTGTGGCGTTCAGGGTTGCAGTTTAAATCTGTGATCTCCTTTACTCCACTGAAGCAACCAGACAGCTTCCTCACTGAACCAGGTCGTCAATTAGCCATTTAGCAACAGGAGGCTAAAACTTCCAGCAGGTTGCCAGCACAATGGACACATTAAATGGCGCTCAGAGAAGGCATGGCTTGAATGGGGCCCACAAATTTGCTTCGACATTATAATGCCATTTTTCCTCTTAGTGATTTCGTATCAAAAGCAGTCAGTCTTTATTTCTGTTCCAGTGGCTATTTCCGAGCCTTAATGCACTCGACAGTGTTCCGTGGCATGAAATCTTTCAATTGGAGAGAGATGCTCCACTTATGCTAACAAGCAATGTTTTATTCAGGTCAGATCTTTGATAGAGCCATATGCTAAAATGGACATGAGGCAAATGAAAAGAGAACCTGCTCCCCTCCAGAAACTTTCAAACTAACAGAGCTGTTGCTTGAACACAGATCTTCCTTGTCACCCACTAACCCTCACTCTGTTCTTTCTCTTGCCGTTTTCTTTCTACTCTGCTCTTTCTCCCTGTCAGTCCCGGCTGTGTTGAATGTTAGTGCCTCAGTTAGTGACAACTTTGCAAATATCAGCTGGATTCCGGGGAAGGAACAAACGGATTCAGAGTTATATGTTGCATACATGAACAACCGTAAGCTCATCTTCTCACTCTTCATCTTTCATGACTTTGTAGCTAACGAGGCTAATTTACCACAGTTAGTCTATGTTCAGTCATGTCATGTCAGATGTGGAATAGTGATAAGTGGTGATTGTGCCAGACGTCTGCATTTAGACATGGCATGGCAAAGGTGGAACAGCATTAACTAGCAAATACCCTAGATGCCTTCACAAAATAGTTTTAATGCAGGGCTGGGATGAAAAGCATTAATGAAAAATTCATATATCTGGACAAAATTATGGCTAAATATCAAGGTAACAGTCAGGAGAGGCCATGATTTTCTGGATTGTTATCTTAAGATAATGAGTTAATTATCTTGTGATCTCAAGATAACAAGATAATTAACAAGATAGCTTGTTATCTCAAGATATCTCCACCACATACACAAACATATTACTTCTGTGTGGTTTAATGAACTTTTTATTTAACAGAATGGGCTGTTAGCCTTGTGTCCAGAGTGTTCGTTTAATAGCAAAGGCACCATTGAACTTGATGTGAAGTTTAACTGTGCGTTAAATATCACATTTGCCATTTTCATCCATAAAATCAACTCAGTCTCATAACTAAACGTCCAGGTTGGAGCACAGAATGGTCATACAAAATGACAGAAAAAACAATAAATTATAGGTATGAATTTAGACATTATCGATAATTACTGCTAATTCGATAAATGGTCCCAGCCCTTGTTTAATGGCTAGTCTCCATTTAGAGCAAGTATAAATCCTTTGCCTTTTGTCTTTAGGGTGAAATTCATTCTGCTCAGCTAATGCACACTCTTTATGTAATAACTAATGTTTGTGGCATCAGGAATCCATATTCCTGGCTTTCTAACACCTACTTGGTTATGCACCTTTCTTAGGTAAAGGTAACTGGAAGATATCTGAGGCGGTCAACTCCTCTAAGACTTTCCTGGTCATTGAGGAGCTGGAGCCTGGGACAGAATATACTGTACGGCTTATGACTAAAAGCTGGCTTGATAATTCTAGCATTTTTGAAGACGTTATCAGGACCAGGGCCAAAGGTGAGGGGGGAGAGATGTCCTCTAACAGCGGGGAAAGCAAATATGATGTTGTTGTTGTTGTTGCTGTTAGCCTTCCATCTCCTCCCATCCACAAGTTCTTGTCCTTGAACAAACTTACCATGCATGACACCGTTCCCTGTCCATCTCCCAGTATGTGTTCTGTTACCAAACTCGATGAAAAGGAATTATGCTTTACCAGCGTCTTCTCTTGATTAATTAGACAAGCAGTTCAGCTGTTTAATATTAATTACGTTTCCATTCTGCCGTTAGTGGCCCATTTGGCGTCGGCCAGGCTTTGTCAATGTAAGCAGTCAATCAGGTGTCCTCTCGAGAGAGAAGGTCGATCCAAACTTTGTGAACAAATGCCTGTGCTCCTCAGGTTTGGCCAGCATCCACGGAGGCATCTCCAACCAGGGCTGGTTCATCGGGCTGATGTGTGCCGTGGCCCTGCTGACTCTCATCGTGCTCATCGCCTGCTTTGTGAACAGGAACAAAGGAGGAAAGTACTCAGGTGAGTGCCTGCTGTCTCCATTCTAAATGCGCCGGACGCTCTATCGACCTATTCGTGTTCACTTGCTGTCAAGGCTCAACAGCCACTTACCCCATGGGGCACGGCAGATTCTTCAGGCACTCCTAGGCCTCGTCCTTGTATCTAGATATTTGGGTGATATATTTTCCCCTCCTCTGTTTTCAACAAATCACAGCACCGTTTTTCGAAAATCTCTCTACCTGATAAAGAATACAAAACCAATATGAAATGAATTGCTCACTAAATTTCTTTTCCACTGTCACAGTTTGTCCCCCCGAGTGTGCCTGTTTCTTCCCCTGTGTTGTAGCCATGTGCTTTTAACCATGTGCTTTTGTGTTTGTTTTGGCTCCTTTGCTCCGCCCTTTTTCCCCGCCTTCCCTATTAGGATTCTCACCTGTTTGTAGTCCCTGTCTCCTCCCTCTCCCAGGTGTTCCCTATTGTTTGTAGCCTATATCAAGCCCTTAGTTTCAGTTCATGGTTGTCTAGTCTACACTTTACTTTGCTGCATGTAGTGGTTGTGTGCCAGCCTTGTGGTTTGTTTGTTCAAAACGTTGTAGTTTGTTATTTTGTAATAAGTGTTTCTGCTAGTTTGTTTTGTTGATTGAAGTTGGCTTACATCCAGCCTCCTTACTCACCACACATGACACCCACATTTAAGGGTTTTTTAATCTCAACCATCAAACATAATTAAATAAAAGTAAGAGACTGGAGGCCAGATTTACAAAATATTTATTTTAATTCACAAAATGTAAATATGAATTATGAAAATCTTAATTGTTTTTGTATATAAACCATAAGTTATTTGCCATGTAGACTATTCAGATTGTGTTAAATATAACAGATTACCAGAAATTACCAGTTTCTATAATTCGGCAACAGATTCCTAATTTTGGCCATAAGATTTACTGACGTTGTGGCCCTCGTGGTCAGTTCAAATCTGTCTACCCCTCTCTGAAAGTACTGTGAAAAAGAAGAAGGAGAAAAACGATGGAGATTAATGTGGGCACTGTTGAAGATGCCAGAAAAGCATTGTGGCTTTGTGTATCTCAGTAGTGGTAAATGTGATATTAAGAAGAATAAAGGACTGTACTGCTGTGGTGTGTCATCAGACGATAATAGTGCATTAAATATTTGTTAAAAACAAATTTATTTAACAAGCTTATGTAGTTCATATGAAAATAAGTAAAACATGCATATAAAAAAACACATATTGATGAACTTTTTACCAGGGGTCACAAACACATGCCATTACTGACAGTAATTAGCCAAAACAATGATCTATTTTAGTGTAAATTGGAGTTTTAAAATGTGTGGGAGTAATTGCAATCAGCTCTTTAGCAATTCTGAAAGAAGTGAACCTATGCAGGGGCAGAAATGCTACTCAGTAACTGAATAGTCTGATATGATAACGCTCCATGCAGTCAGAGGCTACCCTTCATTTATTTAATTTCCAGTCTAAATGGCTACTAAGTAGGTACTACTCTTTGCAGAAAAGATATATTTAATCAGAAAATGACACATTTGAAGGAATAATTCTGGCTATTCTGACTGCATTGTCCAACAAGGTGCTTGGTAAAGAGCAGAAATTGTACAAAAAAGTCAAATTGGCATCACACAAACTTTATTTTAAACCTACGTGTTTTGGCACACAGGCTTTCATCAGGCTTTTACCAGTTTGACTCACATCCCTGATGAAGACCTCTTTGCCAAAACACGTAGGTTTGAAAAAGTTTTCCAGTCAACAAGTGTTTCCTATGGAAAACTTCACAGGAGCTTCAACAACTAAACATGATATCAATTTGTTCAGTGTTTAGTGTGTCCACTCTTTGCTTCCATTCTTCATTAAATCTACAGGGACGTTTTTCCACACTTCCAAAGTGTGGAAAAACATCTTCCAAGCTGAGTAATCACGTAATGTTGATACAGATTAAAGATAGCGAAGTTAGCTGTTGCCTAACTGCAGCGACAATGCATTAGAAATTGGTGTAGCAGATTTAAAAATCATTCTTGGCCTCGCTCCCCGAATTTGCTGCAGTTCCCAGAAGAACCTTCCAGTGGAGAATTCTTTAAAGAATTCCATTGAAAATCATGGTTTTAGTGTAATGATAAAGCAAAGCTAAATTAAACATTTTGTAAACATGTAGTCAAACCTAATAGTACCAAAACGACAGCAACAACCTGGTCATCAGCCATGTCAGATATGCAGAGTCCTCACACATGGTCAACACCAGCAAAAATGCCTAGTGACCATGTGCACATTCACACATTAAGCAGTGTTATATTGGTAACACTGACAACATTTAAAAACATAAGTATTGGGACACACCTCATAATTATTGAGTTCAGGTCCATTGATAACAGGTCCATTGATAACAGGTGGATAAAATTAAGCACACAGCCCTGCACTCTCAATAGACAACCTGGACTCTGGAGCAGTAGAAACATATTCTGTGGAGTGACTAATCACGCTTCTCTATCTATCAGTCTGATGGACAAGTCTGGGTTTGGCGAATGCCAGGAGAACCTGCCTGGCTGTATTGTTCCAACTGTAAAGTTTGGTGGAGGAGGGATGGTGCTATGGGGTTGTTTTTCAGGGGTTGGCTAAGAACCCTTAGTTCCAGTGAAGGGAAATCTTAATGCTTCAGCAGAACAAGACATTTTGGACAATCGTATATTTCCAGCTTTGTGTGAACAGTTTGGGGAAGAACCTTTTCTGTTCCAGCATAACTGAGCCCCAGTGCACAAAGCAGCTCCATAAAGTCATGGCTGGGTGAGTTTGGTGTGGAAGAACTTGACTGGCCCTCACAGAGCCCTGACCTCAACCCCATCAAACACTTTTGGGAAGAACTAGAATGCAGATTATGAGCCAGACCCTCTCGTCCAACATCAGTGTTCAACCTCACAAATGATCTTCTGGATCTTCTTAATGTGGCAACAATTCCCACAGACACTCTCCAAAATATTGTAGAAAGCTTCCCAGAAGAGTGGAGGCTGTTAAAGCTTTAGAATGGGATGTTACAAACGCTCGTGTAGGTGTCCCAATACTTTTGGCCATATAGTGTGTATGGCAAAGTATGTGGACACCTGACCATCACACCTATATTAGCTTGTTTGACATCGATTTCCAAAACCACAGGCTTTAAAATGGAGTTGTCCTCCTTTTACAGCTTTAGCAGCCTCCACTCTTCTGGAAAGGCTTTCCACAAAATTCTGTGGAGGAGTGTGTCTGTGGAATTTGTGCTTCAGCACACGCTTCAGCATTCACCGGCCTCGCTCTGCGAGTTTGCGTGGTCTACCGCTTCATGGCTGAGCTGTTGCTGTCTCAGGATGCCAAGTCAAGTCAAAGTTTATTTATATAGCGCTTTCTACAACAGACATTGCCACAAAGCAGCTTTACAGAAAATCCAGGTCTGAGCCCCAGTGAGCGACACCAAGGGCGAAGGTGGCAAGGAAAACTCAGCAAGAGGAAGACTCGTTGAGAGGAACCAAGACTCAAAATGGGAACCCATCCACCTCTGGTTGACACTGGAAAGCAAAACAAAGCCACAACAAGAACGATATGAACAGAGAACCAGGTTTTACAATTAATATACAATCTAGAATTTAGAGAGAAAGAAAAATATAAAGCAGCTCATCATTGGACAGAAGATAACTATTGTTAGAGGCCTATCAGAGTAACACTGAGAAAAATCAATCTATGAAAATCAGTCACTGTTACCAGTGAAAAAGATTGAGTACTTTTAGGAGCGAATCACAGTGAAAATGAGAGTTAAATCCTTGAACATCTGATCGTAATTGGATTTCTACAGTTATCTGATTATTCAAATGGTCATGTAAACAGCTCCGATTTCTTAGACTGGAGTAAGCTCTAGAAATCCGATTAAGAAATCTGATAAGGAGAGCTGGAACTTAGCTAAGTGATCAGATTTCTCAGTGCATGTAAACTGTTACTCTGATTTCTTTCGGATTTCTCAGCCTGCTCATGTGTGAAAACAGACGTCGGTACTGGAAATAAGACGCAGCAAAACACTTTTGGAGAGACGCTGAAACCAAATACATGCTTGATGAAATGAAGGATTTCAATTTTCTTCATCTTCTAGATGATGTATGTTCAGGTCATGTTAAATGTAAAAGCCTAGCTAACGAAAAGGCAAAGAGAAAGATTTAAGACGGACATCGATAATTTGGAAATTAATGGACTTATTAGCATTTAAAATCACTCCAGCTTCCTGATATGTTTAATCTGCAACGAGAAACTGTCAAACACTAAAAATCTACGAAGCTGAAGTCAGCTTCGTATTTGACAGCCTTTGACACCATTTAAGGTGGAACGGGAAAATTAGAACAAGAAGCTGGTGAATGAGAAGCAACTTTAGCCTTGTAAAAAATGAAACATGAGAGACATTTTACAAGAAACTGTTCTACTTTTGTGGAAAAGTTTCCTGCCGGAGATGTGAGAAAAGCAGCTATAGCTGAGCTAAAGCTTAAAGCAGAGCAAAGTCAGTCTGCGTTTTTGTTTGTATTATATTTTTTAGCCTTTACTAGCACATCAGCACATACTGAGACATTTACAGCCAAGATGTAAAATGGACATAAAATGCGGCTCCCAAAGTGGTTTGAATTTTGTTGAAAATGGCTCTTCTTAACATTTAGGTTGCCGACCCCTGGTCTGTGGATTTTGCATGGCTATGTCTTGTTAGCAATGGATGTGCCTGAAACACCTGAACTCCATCATTAGGAGAGTTGTCCACATATGTTTGACCATACACTGTTTGTTTTTTTTCTGACCCTAGTTTGTGTCATGACACTTTCTGGGGTGAAATGACTCATGAAGCTTTATGAACACAGCCCAGAGTAAAGTATTACCGATACGTTTTACCCGTCCTTGGGATTACACAGAAAAAAAGCAAATGTCCAGAGATCATATTTCAAATGGCTGCTTTAGTACTGATTTAATAGAGAAATGAAGTTGGGCTAGTTATGAGAGTGACAAATTGGAGTGTAGACCACATCCAAGTCTCAGGATGTAGGCTATAAGGGGTTAAAGAAAGGAAAACAACAAAAATAAGGACTGAAATATGCAAAAGAGAGAGCGAAGTCACTGAATGGCTGCTTTCATTGCTGTACTCCACTGATGCCTGCATCGGTGTGGAAAATGAACTGGTGCGTTTATATTTAACATGTCTAACACATTCTATTTACGGGATGCAAATAGAGTCAGACCCACAAAAGGAATAGCATGCAAAATGCTCACGCAGACAAGCAAATGCCAGAGAACGAAATGATGGAAATGTTGCACTGCATTAGCAATGCTACATCTCTTCCTGTGTCAGTCCCAGAAAACCTTTCTGGCAATTTCCTGTGACGGGAGATGGGCTCTGGATAATCTGCTTCTACTCGAACTAGAACTGCTATCAGAATGTGGTACAACAACAGAGGAATATGAAAAACCTTCACATCCTAATTTGTCATTTTAATAATTATCAGTCTAAACTCATTGTTGCCATTATAGTGTTTACATCATGACGGTATTAATGACTATATAGGATTGATCTATTCACATACATGTATTTCCTTTTTAATTTATTGGGTCATTTACTTTGACTGCGTTAATGAAATTAAAACGAACTAATTTTCTTCCCCTCTTCCTTCAGTGAAAGAGAAGGAAGACCTCCATCCAGACTTGGAGTCTCAAGGAATGAATGATGACACGTTCTGTGAATACAGGTAGGCTAATTCTAAATCCGTTGCACCTGGAAATGCAACCTTATCAAAGCATGGCACAGTATTGCTTACGAAATATGATTGGCTGAACCCAAGCTGATGTAAAATGCTCAGTATATACGTATTACCACACATCAGCTGAATGCACCAATCTATTAAAAACATTATGTTGCTTGGCAATCATAGCCTACTGTTAAAGTGGGGATTTCCCTGATTTTTCAAAAAATTGTTTAGTTGTTGAGATGTATACAAAGTCTTTGTAAACACAGAGATGTAAACACAATTACTTTACAGTGGTGCTGATAGGAACCGGGGTCACCATGTCTACAACACAAATATAGACATTTTATTTACTATATAAAACGACCAGTGAACCCTCACATGTCCTCTGAGCTTTTATACAGTACTGTGCAAAAGTGTTAGGCACCTGAGTAAAAATTAGATTTAAAAAGCTGTTTATTTGGATAGTAAGAATCTTTTTTTATTTTTTACAATAAATACAAATAATATTAGAACAATAAGTGTATGTCAGTGTATTCCTTTTTCCAAACCTGGTTTGGCTAATCAGTGCTCAAGTTAAACTAAGTGTGCTGCAGAATCGATGGCAGGAATGTCCATGAAAAATCTGGAATCAAACATTATTCTTTAAACTAGTCCATAAGATCTCAACTACTTTTTTGCCAACAAGAAATTCTTGATACTTTTTACTGTCTTTATTCATTTGTATTTATTCTAATGATGTGTTTTTACAAGAAAAATAACGCATTTATTGTACAGATTAATGGGTTTAAATAATGTTATTAGGTGCCAAAAACTTTTGCACAGAACTGTTTGTAATGTCGAAAATGATAAAATCCAAGAAAATAGGGATGTTATTTTTTTTGCTTTACAATAGCCGTTGCCAGTGTTTCAGGCATTAGACAAAATTTTATAATTTTATAACAGCCTTCTGTGAGGGAGCACTGAATGCTTCAGACATCTGGTTACCATCACCACCACTGTGAACAATTCAGGCTCTGTAAGTTATTCTAAATCAAGTGCATTCCACATCAAGCCACTCGGAATGAGTTTACGATTAAATTATAGAGAAATGTTGTATATGTTTTTAAAATTGGAGGAATTCCCCATTAATGAGCTACATTGCTTGATGGAAGGATTGTATTTACTGTATGTTGTTTTTATCATATTGCATTTTGTTGCTGTTTTACAAAAGCAATGTGCCACTCGAGGCTCTAGGTTACAGTGATTTTACCAAAATTAAGGTGGTTTGCCTAACAACCCCCCTTAACTGTGGTACACTCACTGTAGCTCACTGCCTCTCATGGCTTATAGCTCTAAAACAGCGCTCCTTGTCACTGTGCTCTTGTAACGGTCATTTTCTTTGTATTGTCCTTTTCTTGCGGTTCAAAAGAGAGCCTAATGTACATGAGCTAAACGTGGACCAGCAAGCCAGCTCCAGCTCAGGACACGTTACGAGCTGAGTAACAACCACACGTACGTGCTAAAGCAACAGCAGGAAACCCCACCCCGTTGCTCATGCATCGGCAATGCTGATGCAGTGCTGTTATTTTGCAGTGCTTTGTGGGTAGCTAGTGTGTTGTGGTAGGAATTAGGAGTAATTGCATCACTGTTAAATTGAAACGCTTTAGTTTTTTTGGAACGGAACGGAGTGGAGTCTGCCCAGTACTCAGCAGGAGATCATTTTTTTTTTTTGGAAGGGGGGGAGAGGGGGGGGGCATCTGGTTTAATTGAAAGGCACTTATCTCCAGGGCAGCGATATCCGTGTTCGTTTCATTAATCTTTCAGTGATCCAATTCATAACAGCCTCTCTGAGAGCTCTCTGTGTGTAGTCACAAATATGGCAATGCAATCACTTCTATGAGGCTTGGACAAAATATACAAAGAACGGTAGATGTGAACTAGATCTTGCACGTGCCTGAGAAACGGCAGCTCACACTGTGAATATGCTGTGCAGAACACTTCCACAAATCTTCAGCCTTAATATTTCCCCCTCCACAAATCAAGCTAAATTAAGCCTCCCATAGAGTCCGAGGCAGGTGCTGCTGTAAGCTTTCGCACACCTGCGGTTTCCCATAGGTAGCAGAAGAAATGAGGAGCCCTACAATTCACTGTATGTCGAATTATTCATTTGCAGGCTAAAAAGGGACCCACTCTTACTTCACACATAATACACTGTACATTCTTTGCCTCTTTTATAATTCAAGGAAAGAATGGATGAGTAAAAGCAAACATACAGTCGGCCAGGAGAGCTGAATCGATATTCAGCTCTGCATTATGTTCATAGCCAGACTTTGAAAAATCACCAAGAACATTCTGATGTCAATTCTACATCCAGGATTTGACCCTAGACTGTAGATCTTAGAAGAACAGTTTTTTTTCCACTTACTCCAGATGTAGTCGATCAGGTAGAGCCTTGGGTTCACTACACGACTTTTAAAGTCTTAACAGATTATAAAAGACTGGGCATTTTACACTATCAAACTGATTTTTGCAAATTTTTTGGGCAGCTGAAATATTGAGCATCACACTAAATGATTAGGGTTCACACACTACTCAGCTTTTCATCTGCGGCTGAACCGGACGCGGCTCACTGAACTCGCGCGAACTCACATTCTCCCGTTATTAGGAGACCCAAATAAACAAACGTATATACGGCTGCTGCTGTTTTCTCTGCCGTTTGCGCTGAGACAGTAAAGAAGCAGCAGGGAAACATGTTTAAGTGAGGATCATGGATTTAAAAATGTGATCAGTTTGGTATTTTTTAGAGTTTTAAATGCACAAAAACTCAATTGTGTCTTAAACTCAGCTCATTAAAAAGCTTCGCTCCACACGTGAGAGACTTTTTGCCAGTTTTCTTTGTTTACTTGCTGTATTTTCTTCTTTCGTGCTCTCAGTTTTCATTGGCTGCTGCAGGAGTCAGATTGATGTCGTTGACCAGTTTACACTAGATTACGCTCAGAGTTGGGTCAAATAAATCAAACATAACCTCCGACTTGTCTGAAATGCGATCGGGAGCCCTAAAATCTGAGTCTGCGCCCCTCACACACGACTCGATTCTCTCTCCAACTGTCGACTCTGACTGACCCAAAAATCTGCAGACTAGAACCGACCAGCTCAGACTCAGCCAGACTGAGAATCACAGCTAAAATCAGGGTAAAGGTTGTGTAGTGTAACCCCGGCTTAAGACATGACTAGTGTACAAATTTTGCTTAGTAACTACTATGCTCAACATAAAAACTGCTTGCGTCTTGTTTTAATTGAGTAATGCGTAAACCTTAAGTCCGTCAACACTTGCTACACCTGAACTTACATACGGCAGGTCCAACATGCCCCAGGTATTGTGTCAAATTCTGCTTCCCCGTTAGAATCTGACTCCCCTTCATGTGCATTCACATCACACAGGCTTATGGATGCTAGATTTTTTGCTTCTATTTATACACATAGATCTTTACTTAAGAAAAAAACATGAGATTTGATAAAATTGGGGAAAAAAAAAAGAAAAACAACTGAAATTAAGAAGGTAATTTGTGTTTAACAGGAGTCAGATTTCAGCACTACAACTTTGTTGTCTAAAACTGACCACAGCATTCAGCTACACAGTGAAGATTTATTCAGTTTTATAGCTTTTAATACGTTTTGACAAGTCTTCACAACCTTAAAGAAGAGCTAGTTGTGTTTTGAGTAGGTTGAGGGACATTTTAGGGCTGTATTTTCAAAGAAGAGTTTGGTGATTATTGACTTCTAGTGTGTGTTCATAACATTAGCTTCGTAGCTCCAGTTTAAAAATAAAAAAGGAAAATTTGGACACTAATCATGTCTGGGCTAATCACTGCTTCTGGGATAATTGCAAATGGTGGAAATGTTTTTCACTGATTCCTTTAAATTGTGGGTGTTTACAAATTACATGTGAAGACGCTCCAAAGGAAAACTCAAGTGGCTCCTTACAAAAAGCACAAGTTCCTACTAAAGCCTGAGTAGACTGATAAATCACAGCACTGAATAACATAGAGAAAACTGCCGACCAGCAACATGAAGGAACAATGTGAATTAAATAAAAATTATAACAGCTAATAATATGTTACTTTTTACATATTGTAATGGAATACTTTACTAAATACATCTAAGACCTTTTCAAAGTATTCTGCCTAACTCTGTCTGTATAAGATATAGTCTATTCAAATGTACAGTGTGAGTCACCAAAGAACAAGATTTCTAAATTATGACAATTGACGATATAACAGTAAAATGTGGAAAGTTTATCACAATAATAAGAAATATCATCACATTGCCCACTCCTAATGCACACTAAGCCTTACTGAGGTTTATTCTTTATGTAAAAAGTCATGTAAACACCTTTTCATTGGGATCAAGTCTTCATTTGAAGTACACAAAATGAACTAAAACACTTAGATTTGTGTTCTATACTTTTATTATTCTGGGCATGTGAAGAGCTTCATCTTTAGACCTTTTTTATGTGCATGTTTGGCTTCAAATATGTCACGAATAATTCTATTTCACTGAGCCCATGTAAACAGGGGTTTTCAACAATCATGCTGTGCATGTAAACACTTCATGACCTTCAGCGCTTGCCATAAGCTGATTTTTGCCACTAATCAGGAGACCAGTGTGCATGTAAACACGTTCAGCGAGTGTAGTCTGGTGGGGTTAGCAGCACAGGCTTATTTGCATTGTGCTAACTGGCTCCTACCAGCTTTTATTTCATTCACTATGAGCCAGAGAGTTTTTGGGGCCAAGCATTTACTTTTGCCTCGACCTTAAGCAGAACCTGCAGCCTTGTTCCGACATCTCAACCTGTTTACTCCTGTTTCTCAACCAGCGACAACGATGAGAAACCCCTGAAGGGCAGCCAGCACTCCCTGGCAGGGGACACGAAGGGAGGGGACAGCGGGGACAGCATGGTGGACTACGGCGACGAGGACGCCCACTTCAACGAGGACGGCTCTTTCATCGGAGAGTACGGCGGACGCAAGGAGAGGGCCTCCACGGAAATTAAAGGAACCAATCAGAGCACGGCGTGAGACGGCGGACAAATTGTATTTGGACATCACGTACAGAAAATTGGCAGAAAGGAGGAGCAAAAAGGGAACAAAAACAAAAATGACATAATCCACCCGAAGCGCATTTTTCAGAAAACGTGTGAATTAATGTGTTTCTCATCATCCTTGCTTATGTTATTTTTTAAGGCTTAGTTTCGCACATATTGTAACAGATCAGTCACGTTCAGCTCTGTATATACTTGCGTCGGGTGTTTCTTTTTGTATTTGCAAATCTGTCGAGACTTCGGAGCTGCTGGCACTTTTGTTTTCTCTTTTTTCTTTTTGTAAATGCGGCCTGTGTTTGTAATCCTGATGGAGGATGAGTGGAGAAAGGAAAAGGCTCCTGTCTTAATTTGTTATGCTCTGTGAGGTCTCCCTGTTCTTTCACATCCATCTCTACTTGTCAAGCAAGTTTTTCTGTGAGGGTATGAATCTTGTGTTTTTGTAATAATTTTTTCCTTCTCTGTTCATTCGAGGCAAATATTATTGACATTTTATATTCAGATATGCATTCATTAAATGTGATTTAATATGTGTACGAGAAAGTTGTTCATTAAGTTATTTCCCATTTCTAAAGTGAGCAGACTAGAAGACAGAGGGTTGAGTTATTAAGAAATTAGATTCAGACACTGTTGTTTTTCAAACATATCCAGTTCTGATAATAACTGATAACAAGCTACACCGACCATTTCCAGTGCTCTATACAGCACTGTCCGAGTTGTCTTGTGCTTGCCTCTATTAACTCGTTGGTGAAGCCGCATATACATTGTCATCGTGTGATGCACATGCTGTGATGTCCTGTTTGCTCTTTCACCACTTTCATCATTGGGGCTTTAAGACAAAGTGTAATTCAGATGGAAGCCCATTCCGACCAGGTAGAGGAGAAAAATCACCTCCTCCGCTACTTCTTGTAGCAGTATAGAGCAATATTGACTTAGTTTATCCAAAAGATGGGTTTGGGTTTATTTTCTCAAAATTGATTAGTCTGGTTTTACTTACTTTCCGAAAAAGTTTGAATTTACATTCCATAATAATGACTTAATTTTGAATTTACTTATTTTCTCAAAATATTGACTTAGTATCTCCAAATAATGACTTGTTTTCTCAAAAATACTGACTAAGTATCTCCAAAAGATGGCTTATTCTTTCAAAATTGATTTGTCTGGTTTTACTTACTTTCTGAAAATTTTGAACTGGGATTTCATAATAGTGACTTAATTTTGAATTGACTACTTCCTCAAAATATTGACTTATTATCTCAGAATATTAATTCAGTATCTCCAAAATATGGCTTGTTTTCTTAAAATTGACTTTGTGTCTCAAAGTAATTGGTCTGATTTTTTTTGTTTGTTTTTGTTTTTTTGTTTTTTTTTGTATATTCACCTAATAACTCCAAATAATGACTTACTTTCCTAGAACTTTGACTTGGAATTTCATAATAATTACTTATTTTCTCAAATTTGACTTGGTATATCAAAATAATTTGTTTGTAATATTGACCTTATCATTTCAAATAATGACTTTCGTAATAATGACGTAATTTCTCAAAATATTGACTTGCTATCTCTAAATACCTTTTTTTCTTGAGGTGTTGGGATACAATGTTGAAATAAAGAGTCATTAAATTACAGGAAATTAAATAATTGTTTTGAAAAGGCGTTATCATGAGATACTAAGTCAATATTTTGAAATAGAAAGTCATTGTCTTGTTACAGTAACTCATGTTTTGAAACAGTGAGTCATTATTTCATCATAGGAAGTCATTATTTTGAGATATTAAGTACATTTTTGTCTTCTGCCTGGCAGAAATGGGCTTCCTTTAATTCCACCTCAGGGTCAGAATCAACACAGTTTTAGGTAAACAGTATGTTTTATCTAGATTAAGTTTCTAGTGATCATAACTCAGTGAGCAACACCACCACGGACTGAGCCAGCGAGTCCTTATTACTGGCAAGTTTTCTGATTCTAAACAAGATAATAAATGTGCCATTGGATACTTGTGTTTTGCCTTGATCTAACAGATTATGGATTATGTAATGATTTGGACTGTTCTAAGTTAAACCCACACAGCACATTCTGAATAGCATCGGGCAGCTTCTCTGTACCAACATGTTTGTGTTTGCATGTTTATGGTTGTTGAATGATGTTTGTGTGCAGATTTGACATTAAATTTTATTACTTTTCTTCATTTTGGCTTCGCTGACTCGCAGTCATGACCACTGCTGTGCTTCTTGTGTCACTTTCATGTCCCAGTAGTAATCAGCCGCACGGCTTCTTAACATAAACTCAAATCACAGGGATCTGTCGTAAATATTATATGTTTACTGGATTAGGGCTCAGGTCTATACCTGGGTGATTTGAGAGATTTTAAGATTATCTTCAGTTTACATGGAATAATTCTGGGTTATGATGAACAAGCACACAAAGCGCAGTGTTCTCCTCGGGGCATGAATGAATTACAGTCAGACTACATAGATTAATGCTTGTTAGCCAGCTCCCAAGGCTTTGGTGTGAAACTCATGGTTTTTAGAGTGTTCAGGCGATGCCTTTTCAAACTCTCTCAAATGTGCTGCTTTTCATTGTTGTCTATGGAATAATGGCACTAGGACTGAAAAGCAGTCCTCTAGCTTGTGCAGTGACCCTTATGGTTGCAAACTGTGTGTTTGGGGAAAAAAACATTCAATTTTTTTATAAATAAAAATAATGTGTGGCCACATCATATAAAAGTGTGGAAACAAGATACTAACGCGTGGCCTGACTTAGTAAGGTGTGGGAACGAGACAAATAAGCCGTGGTCATGATTTAATAAGGCATGGGAACGAGATCATGCCTTAAGCTCTGGCCAAGCCAGCCTTGATTATCTCATTCCCATGCCTTACTAAATCGTGACCACGCATCATTATTATTTATATGGTACGTCACTAGCAGGGCTCCATAGTTGAGCACAATTCAGTCACTCATTCAGCTTGGAGGAGAAGTTAGTTTCAGCTGTTTCCAACACCTGGAGCTATGCAACACTCAACATAAGGATTAATACAGTCTGAATATGAAAGACAGATTTTCTAACTGTATGCAAAAGTTTGAGTGCCCCTGGTCATTTACCATGGTTTGTTCATTTTCTAGGTGAAGGTAAATTAACACATCTTCTACAGAGAACACACATTTCCTGCACATTTTAATGCACAATGACTGCTTATTTGCTGAGTTTAACACATTGGAAAAAACATAAAATGTGGTCTGTGCACAATTTAGGTTTTACATTTTATTTTACTGTTAAATTCATCAAATAAATAGAAATTATGCACTAAAATTTGCAGAACAATGCCATATTTTAGTTTGTGTTCTGAGTTGTGTTAACTTTTTTCAGTTAGAAAATTAACAAAACATTTGGCCAGAGGTGTCCGAACATGTTGAATACACTAAAATGTTTATCACTTGCATGCATTTCTGTTTTTGTTTTGTAGCACAGGATTAATATAACCTGGAGTTATTTCAACGTTTTTTTTTAGAACATGACATTAATACTGACGAGTTTGAACTCCTGTTTGTGATAGGATCAGGGCTGGCCGCAGTCTTTTGTGGGCTCTAAGCAGAACTTTTTGGGGCAGAGGTACTAAACGGTTTAAAATAAACACAGAGAAGTTAGTACTGTTTTGTTTTTGAAGAATAATTGTTGAAGCTTAGAGCCAACTGCCTAGCTGACATTAGCTTTATCCAATCCAATAGCATTTTTCTACAGTATTCCCTTAGGCTAGGCTACTTAACCTGACAGCACCATCATACTGTTATGTGCTAACACACTGTAAAATTATAACAACAGCTACCATAAGCTGTCTAAATTATGTACATTTGCTTGTGTATTACTGATGATGAGATGATAATGAATAAGTTCCACTATAAATTACAGATTCAGCATCCAGATCAGCTACTTGACTTCACTTTAACACCATCTTCTCGTTTTCTGTCCTGTTTTTGTTGCCCGCAAATGCTCTTTTTTTAAACTTGACTAACCAGTCGCGTCCTGTTAGCAGTATAGTAATAACCTGGAAGTTGTTAAGGGTCTCCCTGGCAGTGGTGGGACCCTAAGCAGCTGCTCATGTCACTTATTAGGTAGAGCTGACTCCTGGAAAAGTTACTCTCTAAAGCCCATACACATCTGTACCAACTAGAAAGTACAAGAGAAAACCCAAAAGTCCTTTTCAGCACATTATTTTGAAAGAAACATCATTTAAAAGCATGTCGCTACCCTGCGCTCCAAATCCTGCTTTAAATAAACAGCCAGTTATGCTTGATTAAAAATGCAAATGGCTGATGCTATTTAAAAACCTAGAAACTAACAGTAGAAACTGTTCAAAAGCAGCTGCCTCAAAATACACTTTTGCTGGAACCCAGATCAAAACACACCTGTACCAGATGTTCAGTGTCCTTAATGGCTCAGTTCAGCAGTGTTTGGAGCTGGTTTAGAGCAAAATTGAATGCCGTCTGTAGGGCTGCCACCTCAGCCCTGTAAAATTCCTGGACGCTCGATCAGTGATAAACTCAGTGGCTGGGCAGCTCTGCTCACAATGCAGTCTAAGGTAGATAAATGTCAGTTCTACTATAGAACCCAAATCATCTTGGTTATTGCATTGCAGTGCGGCATAGTGCCTGAACATGTCACAAACAGTGCACCTTTCCAAAACAACTGTCCCTACATAGGGTTTTCTGAACTAAACCTGTTTAATTGACATAAGAATTAATAACACAGAGAGCTGCAGGGATTCTGAGACAATTTGTGTCCAAGAATGGAATTCGTTTTTCCTGCACAGACAACCAAAATGCAGAACAATCCAGGAAATCTGTCTGGGGGGGGAGGGGTCTCTGAGGACCTATTTGAGAACCACAGGTCGACATGCTAATGACACAAGCTGTGGTTCAAGTTAGCGTCTGAAGGAGTGTAACAGTGAAAATGCGCTTGTGCATGCAAAATTAAAAATCTCACTCTGGTCTCACTCCAGCCACCTGAAACTCTCACTCCAGTCATCTCACCAAAGTTGGCAACCCTGCAGTTCCTCTGCTTCAGTGAGTTATACAGTGGAAAAGCAGTAATACAATGGAAATGATAGCAAAAATAGTGTTCAGCATGTTTATTTCTGGCTTATTTGTTGTACAGTAGTTGTTCTCTGGGTTAATTCTGACAAAGACGCTTATTCTGAAGGGTGGTGTTAGCGTCCTTTCTGTGTTTATGCCTGTACAACAAATAATAATAATAATAATAATAATAATAACATTTTTTATTTATATAGCACGTTTCATGCCGGTGGCAGCTCAAAGTGCTTTACAGACAGTTGATAAAACTTAACAGTAATACAAGAAATTATAAGTATTAGTTTAGCATCATATAAGAAAATGACACAGATCAAATTAGAAGATAAAAACCACAAGATGTAGTTTTAATTATATACTGAGTTAAAGAGATTTGGTTTTAGATGCTTATTAAAAGTGAGCACTGAGCTTGACTGTCTAATAAAAGGTGAACTGAGCTCCACAGTTTAGAAGCAGAATAACTGAACGAGTCTCTCCATGTTTTCTGTATTTTACAGAGGGTGTTTGTAGAAGGTCAGTATCTGCAGATCTAAGATCATAAATAGACAGACACTCTGTGATGTAAGTGGTGCTTTAAGGTCATTACTATCCTTAAAAACTAGTAGCAGAACTTTAAAATCCATCTTGAATGATACAGGTAGCCAGTGCAGCTCTTCTAAAGTGGGAGTGATCTGATCTCTCTGTGTTGTTTTTGTTAGGATGCCGCTGCATTTTGTACAAGTTGTAAAGGATGTATTGTTTTCTTAGGAAGTCCAGTAAGAAGATCATTACAGTGATCAACTCTGCTGTAACAAATGCATGAACAAGTTTCTCTGCGTCACTCTGAGAGAGAAAAGGCCAAACTTTAGCGACATTTTTCAAATGATTAATAGCTTCTCTAGTCACTGTGTTACATGCAGGATAAAACAGAGCTCAGTTAAGAGTGAGTGCAGACCTGAGCTAAAGCTGGATCTAGCTGATAGCCTAAAGCCTTGCTTTCTGTAAGGGGCTGGGGCTGACTAAGGCCTTTAATGAAGCACAACGACTTGTGCATAAGTTGTTTGTCTTACTTTAATAGGGTTAGAAAGATACATGTCTGGAACTGTGAGCTGAAGTGAGGATACTGTAACCAGAACACTGTGGGTTTGAGTCCTTGGAAGAACACTGAACATTGAGAAACACAGAACATTGTTCCTTGTCCTTGGAAAGTACAGTTAGATTTCCGCTGCCCTGCAGCTGTGTGCCATTAATCCTGAGTTGTAATAAGAAAGTAACATGAA